ATTAGCAATGTACAATATTATTGTACATTAGTATCTTTTCAAGCAAAAATACCTATTATTAGATATAGTTATATTCCTTTAATACAATATCGAAGATACAAAGACTTTAAAAGTATGCTCATCTATGCATGCACGGACTGTAAATAAGCGACCCCGAATACGGGAAAACAAATGATATTTTTCGATTGTAGTTCTATTGAATTGATCTCGTGGCAAGTTGTTTTGATGTATTTGGGGGTAGAATGAGTATGAATATTAAAATTGATGCCAAAATGTGATTCTCCGATGCTATTTATATTTAACAAGAGAAAAAATAATTCTCCTTACATGACAGCCACAGTACAATACAGTCTCTATCTTTCTACTACAAGGTACCAGACCAAGTATCATAATAATTTTAGTTTGAACACTTTGAGAAAGACTACTACAAATAACAGAGACAATGAGTTTATTACTTTTTGATATACCAAGGTAATAGCCGAATCAGCCAACGATCTATCTATTTATTAATCGGTCATGTTATCGTTGACTAGTAATTATCTTTAATGGAAGGTGGAAGTATGATGATTATAAATTAATGAAACAAGTATACTGCATAGAGATAGTCTATCCATCGAATCAATACTGGTTTAGAATAGTGATCGATGTATAAATAAAATGAACCATATTTAACTCCTTCATTCAAGTCATCATTGCAGGTTAAACACTAGAGTTCCTGTACTTGTGAGACTCAAATTGAAACACTCGATGAAAAAACAAAAAAGTGCTTTCTATCTTTAAATAGGACTTGACAGGCACTTATAGTGTCTCCTAATGTTGATTTTAATGATGTATTCCTGTCCGTAGTGTATATGAAATGTAATAGAGGAAAATAGTAATAAACTTGTCATACAGCATTGTACATGTTGTAGCTTATATAATTCATTAAATACGGGAACATGAGTTGACATGGCTAACATGAATAGACCAATTTTACAACTGTAGCTTTGGTAACTTTATCAATAAACAGATAACTGAGTAAAAATGCGTGAAAATTAAAACTTGGAGAAATTCTATATAGGTACGCTATTAGAGATTGAAAAAAGAAGTATGGAGTAGCTCAATAACGATCTAAAATTAGTTAGCAGGGAAAATATGAAAGATTATTGCGTGTAATTACGATATCTTCGGAAAAAAAAAACTGGAGAAGAGTGCCAGAACAATATACCACTGTTCTGTCTTGATAGCATAATAAATGCTAATTTTTACATTGTTGTAACTATTAAGTCTTCTCATTTCAGGTATCAATGTAACTAGTAGGCTGTGAAAATTATTCAATCTTTCCGGTTACACTATAAAAATAAACAAGGATTCAAAATATATACATTTACTATGCTATTATAATTCTCCTGTTTAGATATAATTACGATAATTCACGTGTGAAGGAATCGAGGTATACCAAGCTTTGAAGTTAAAAAAGAATTTCTAGTTTAGTCGAAGTAAATAAATACAACCAGGAATCTGTTTATTACAATTTAATGCAATAATTCTAAACGATAAGATTTACTATGTGAATCATTTGGCGCTTAAAAAAATTTTAGAATTAAGATTAAAGATGCTTAATGCAATTGATGTAGACTAGACAGTGAATACTATATTTATGGCAGTTTAACGCAACGTTCTATGCGCTAAGATTTACTATGTCGATCATTTGACACTGGAAAATGTTTCAAAATAAGAATAATGATGAAGAGAAGGTCTTTTTATTCGAAGTAAACATGACTTTAACGTCATAATCCTATTTATTTATGAGATTAGTAACGTTATCGGCGGCTTGCTAATGAAATTAATCATGAACAGCATAAGCTTATCCAGTACAGTACTGTATAAAATAAAGCAATTATCGTGTATTTGAAAAATTTTAAATGCAATCTAATAGCAACCCTTGTCAGGAAGGATACAGTTCCTTCATTTTATAAAAAATTAATGGTGAATTAAGGCAGGAGCAGTTGCTTACTTACTAGTGTGATATCATACGGCAATCATTTCGAAGTCAAAATCATAAATTTTTCGTACCGTAGTCATCAGCAAAATAAACTGTTTAAAACTTTGTAGAGAAGACTTTAAAGAGATTGTAACACCGATCAAAGCTCTATACCTTACTATATAACGGATTGATGTTTATCGATTACTTTTTTCCATCAATGAGTAGGAGAAATTAGGAAAAATCTTGAAAGTTAAAAATCTTGATCAAGGAACTATGTTTCTAAATTAATTTAAACACTGAACAGCTTGTTTGCAACGTGCTTTTCTTAGATAAATCTGTAGTCGAAATGTGGGAAGGTATTGAAAAATTTAAACTTACACAAGGAGATATTTCGATTATAAACTACTACTTTATAAAAGAGAAATTTAGTTTCACTCGTTTACTGCATGCTGTTCTTAGTTGATCAACAATCGGTGTTTGGCTTAGAGTCGTTGTGTCAGATATACAGCAAATGTTGTTATGATATTTTGATAATAGTAAAAAAATAAGATTAATTGTAGTATTATGTAGCTACTCGGTTCAAGTCGAAATTTTCAGCCCATAACTAAAATGTACCCCATGGTGAATCATGTTTTGGAAAGATCTGGTCTTAATTTAAATGCCAAATATGAAAATTTAGAAATGAGCAAATAAAAATGATCGAGTAATAGTAATTGAATGCATGTTTGGTACACAAATTACCATGATTAAATACTTATTGTTTGAAGAAAAATATCAACGTTGACCACGCTAGTGTAGTTAAGAAATTAAAATAAACCGCACGATACTACCATAGATTATAGAGATCAATTTTGCATTAGAGTAAATTCATATCGAGTATAATTTCTGATTGAATCATGATAATTTTAGACACTTGCTATTGACTTACATTTATGTGAGATGTCTAGAATAAATCGATGTGTTTAGTTCACGGAACCTGAATTAGAATTGTAGTTTTCGCCGCCAGTAATTAGTGACCATCAGTTATCTTGTATCGATCGATTTGGAGTCTCCAATGGATGTTTCCGTAAATGAAATGGAATATTGGATAATCTTTACCCTACGAAAGGTACAGATACGCTTCACTATAGCCACTACAGTATGTCTCTAAAAAATCGACTCATAAAATAATCGATTTAGAGGCGAAATTCTTATAGCTGAATTAATTTCTCTTTGCTTATTGTATTGCAAACCTTTGCTAATGAAGATCCAAGAGGGTTGCACCGATCCAGTTGGACTATCCCTAAACTGTATACCAAATATACACATATATGCGAGTATTTACTGTACTGGTCGGCAGTAATCAATAATGAATGGCCTAATTTCAAATGAAATATTCGGACAGCACTCTTCTCATTATATCGTCAATGATGGTGATAAGTCTTAATACTACAGTAGTTCTTTATACATATATATATATATATTTTTCTCCCATACGCGATGGTGACTTTGTTTTTTACTAAATATAACAGTATTTTTTTCAAATGCTGCGGCCAACATCTGTTAAGTTTTAATGAGAGGTCACATGATGCGATTTATGGCCATAATTCTGATATTAATCTGTTATTATAAATTAAGCTATGCAGTATCTGGTGGAGAGTGCCATGGCTATACTATAGGAATTCCCATATTTATTCATAGGAAATTTGACATGGTATCCTATGTGCTATGGGTGTAAATTACAGAGGATAGACATACTATTTGTAGGAATATTTACAATTAACTTGTGGATTATAGTGTTAATATTATTTATCGTATCCTTATTAGTTATCTTCGATAACAGTAGTAATACTGCCCTATTGCATTTGAGTATTTAGATAGTTTAGTAAACTGATATGTATAGATAGTGAATATTGTATGTCGTATAATCGCCTTTACTTTGAACTAATTTTGGAGTAAATAAGTTATTTATGAATTATAATAAGAATAAGAGTAGTCAGGCGATAGGTAGAAATTTGAAACAAAACTCATGAGCGTGCAGTCAATTACTCAGTAGTATTACGATTGATAGAATTGATTATTTCGAGAACAATATTTGATTTCACTAGATATATTCTGAGTAGATTTGTTATTGTGATGCAAAAGTCCAATTTTTTAAAAGCATCTTATGGTATCAAACCGAGTGATTGCAATATAACGTAGTTGATTTCTAAATCGAAAAACTTTATATTAGAGAAACATGTAGAACAAATCCGTCATTGTATAGTTGTAGTTAGAGTTAGTCAAGGTAACTCTAGTAAGAATTACTCATATCGATTGCTTGAAATGTAGAGCATTCCTTTATACAAGAATATGTGTGTACAATACCGTTGACTAAACAAATTTACTACGGTAATGCAAACACTGTGATTGATCATAGTTTAGATCGAATACTGACTTGCAATCAAGTATATCCACACATTATTTAAGTCCAATATAGAATTAATAAATAAAAAACAATGATGTGTATAGCTAGGGATATATATAAAATCGTCCATCTAGAGCTCGCTTATTTCGCCTACCGTGCTAGTTTACGCTGTAATACTGTACTAGTAATAGTCTTTGAATATGCACCATATTTGTATTGACGGTTACATCTTCTGAACAAATTGCATTTATAACTTTTGGCTCTTACCTGGGTTAACATTTGTAACAGAAGGAGCTGCACATCAATAAAGGGTAGATCGAATATTATTATAAACATGAATAAAACCAATATACTGTAAGCTACTTGTAACTTGGGAAGTGTGTCATCTCAATTTATCCTGATTCTCCACTGTAATACTGTCGTCTTACATCTACAGCCTAACTTACCCGCTCCCATAATAACAATAAATTTGTTTGCAATCTAGCTCCTTAAAACTAGTTACTAGAGGATAATTTAGGCACGATTGCAATATGTACATCCTCCCAACGTCGAGATTGACTACAAATAAAACTATCAGGCGAAGGTGCAGTGTTGCGTTTACATTATACTATCATAATGCTACCGAGAAAAGACACGTAAACCATTTTAAACAATACGTATTTTATTTTTCTTTCATATAGATTGTGAATGCTTCGGTTTAAAACAAAATAACATCATCAGTTATTTCAAATTTATTTTTTGCCAGACTTTTTGCCACCCTTTGCTGGCTTTTTGACAATTTTTCTTTTCTTCTCCAAAAGCTCCTGCCTGGCCTTTTTATTTGATGCTAGATATGCCTGTCTCTTAGTCGCTGCAGAATGAGGGTTTAGACGTAGCATAACTTTCACATTCTTCAGAGGGTTCTTCTTAAGTATTGCACGTTTCGGTTTAGACCTATAAATAGTACAAGTCCGAGAAATGATATAAGATAATGATCATCATCACAACCTTTATAGACTATAAAGTAACCTAAATCACAGTTTACTGTAAGAACATACTTTGCGGGTCTTATGCTGCTTTGTACTTCGTTGGAATTAATGATTCTTGCTATGTCGCTAGTTGTCATAATTGAACGCGGTAAGCTATAGAACGAAAATAGAAAAATGTTTAAAATACGATAACTTCATGCTAAATGTAGCTGTTCTCAAAAATATCAAGCAGTAATAACTGACTTATAATTCGATTTTTCTTCAGACAATTTTCTCCATGTACCAAAAACTGAGTCTAATTTTTTAAATGCACTTTCACCCCATACACAAAATCTACCCATGTGGCCGCCTGGTGCTAGTGATAACAAATTTAATCGAGAAATTTGGGCTAGTTCTACTCCAGGAACGTTACGGAAAGCTTTAACGATTCCTGTTAAAAAAATTACGCATAATTAGATTTTTAAAGTCCATGCTTTTAACTGGGCAATCGTTTAGGAAATTTTACCGTTATCGGCGTTATAAATGATCAATGGGCCTCGGCGTTGAACGTAGCGACGGTTTCTCAACTTGCCTTTGCCAGTTCGTAGCGTACGCGAGGCTTTTACCTTTTCGACATCTTGATAGGCATTTACTCGTTTCAAGAAAGCAACGGCAGCTGAAGTTTTAGTGATAGATTCGACTGAGTCGGATACAACAAGTGGCACTTCTTGGATGTTCTCGATACGGTGACCACGCGCCATAACAAGTGCAGGTAATGAAGATGCAGCAAGTGCAGAGGCACAAGCGTATCTCCTCTGGGATAAATTGCTTTTTCTAGTCCATCGGCGCCAGACTCGTGTAGGTGCAAACATACGACCACCACGGCACATCTTTTTATCAGTCAAGGTTTATCACATTCACAATAACTATCATGTCCTATCAAAAAGCTAGTTCCACTATCGTAAGCACTCTTACTTTTCAGATATAATTAAATCATGCGATAATGTCGTCAAGTAGATCAATCTCCATTTCTCGTAATCATGCATTTCACATAACTGGATATCATTTAAGTAAGAAATTATAAACCAACATACTAACGTAAAAATTAATATTACGCAAAGATACGTTGCCATAAGCGGCTTGACCAGATCTGTGGGTACCACCACCGCGAACACGAGGAATCCTAGCAACAGCTCTTCCTGTACCCCAAGATTCAGCGCTGGTCTGATGTCCAGCTTTTGTAGAAACGGCATAAGGTTGTCTCTTATTTTTGGCCATGTTGGTATGGACAAACTGGACCAAATCTGGTCTGATTGGTGCTTTAAGCACAGCTGGCATAGGGACAGAAGTAGAAACTTCTCCCTGATCCGAGTAAACATTTACTAATGGTCTTGCAGCCTGAAAAAAAACCACATATTAGGTACCATATTAACGTACATCCGCGTCTATACGGTCTGAAGCAAAGTTGATGAAGAAACACTAGTCTATAAATCAAGACAGCTAAACTAATAAGCGTTAGGAGCTAATAATTGAGACAGTTTAGCTTAGCTGATTGCAACTACGGTAAGTATCAACTACCAATCCATACACATTCAACGATGCGGAGGGCATAGCGTTGCTATTTTCACACATTAAGAGTCAACGACGTGGTAAAATGCATTACTCAAGTTCAACCTCTATCAGGATATTTACATCTATAGCGAAATATCAACCTGTCCTACTGATCAAGATACATTTCAACCTTGCAAAGCAATGGCTAATGCAGCAAGCATAATAATAAGCGAACAGATAAAATCCATTACGCAAATTACAATTTCTATACAAGATATCTTATGCTGTCCATTTAGGGTAAACGAAAATCCAGTATAGTACTACCGGAATGGCCGGTATAACATCCCGATCAACTAGCATTGAATACAAGGGATCTATTCGGAAATAACACTCTTTTTCACATGCTTAGCATCGTTAACTACGCAGATTCCTCAGCTTCAAATAACTGTCAAGCAATTGTACTCTATTTTAACACAGTGATGGAGGAGTAGTCCCTTCTTGGCCATTGAGACCGTTGAAAGTCAGTTCTACGGAGGGTGTAAAAGAGTTGAGTAACAACTTTGGGCGAACACTAACATTAACATGACTATTTTTTGTAATGAGGCTTTTAAGCTAACGAAGTTAGTACACATTACTTAGAATAAGATAGAATGTGTAGTCTAGTATCCATGGACAACATATTAACTATCTAATGAAGACTATCGAAGTGTATCATTTTTAGAAATTGTCCTGTCAAGATGACCACTAGCACGAGCATCACTGTCCGACTTGCTAGCCCATTTCATTATCGATCAAATTTTATCAATAACCAAAGTAATGCTAATTTTAATTGGATGCAAAGAATCACAACGAACAAGAGATCAAGTTATCCAAGAAATAAGATCATTTTGAGCAATAGACAAGAATATATCGTGAAAATTACTCACCATTGATGCAGTCGATGCGCGAAAAGAAGATGGCTAGAAGAGATCACGACGAAAAGGGAGAATCCCGCAAGGAATGATGGGATGAATAAGCACATGGATGGCGGCTTGATGCTACAGTGTTTTGGTACAGTACAGTACAGTGTACTGTACGGTCCTAACGTGACAAAGTGTGTCCACCCGCCCTCCATCCAATAATAAATCTGTATTGGAGGTGGGTTAACTCTTACGATACGTTGGATAATAAAGTACAGTATAGAAATTTATAATTGATAGAGACATTATAGTATATACAGTATAGAAAATTTGAAAATCTGTTATTTCATCAAGGTGGCCGACCTTTCTGCACACGTACTGTAGTGCACAGTACTTGCTGTAAATGTACTGTACTTTTCCAGTCCAGTACCATGTACTGGACTGGACCGTACCGCACCGTACTATACCGTACCGTTCCACACCGAAATGTAAAATCCGACCCGGTCCGGTCCGGTCTGTAGAAGGTTCGGTTCCGGGGTACCGTACTGTATAGTGTACAGTACAGTACCATGACTGTGCGGTGGATGTTAGTACTGTACGAACTGTACTGTACGTACGCCATTTTGGAACAGCGAGATCGCGGTCGTGAACTTGACAAGGGCTATTGGTGTTGTTGGATGCCATATTGAATAATAAACAGTCAATCGAAATTATAAATGTATCTTCCATCTTGGTGTTAGGATGCCTATTGCTACTCATAAAACGATAGTCTATAAGACTCCAGAATTGACTACAACAACGTATGAAGCTATAAAGTCTTATATTGCACGAAAAAATAGTCAAGAAGGCACAGGTAATTTTGAAAGTCTACACGTATTTACTCTGTAATGTATGTATACAGGTTCGGCTGTGTAATCTTCATATCAAAATAAATTATTTCCCAGAAGATATTAGTTCTGTCCTTGTTGAAATACGCATCTATTACAATATGGAGAGAGTGTTCGATATCGCTATAGATTGTAATTACTGTAGGTTAAACTGTGGATATAGTAATTTTGTGTCTAAAAGTGATCGATGATATATCTATTTTGCAGTCCACTTTTCCATATTTCTTTATGCTACACGTAATGAACCGATGAAATTTATCTTCTCTATTAATGAAATGCAAAGTAAACAGAATGCTGCAGTAGTACTGGTATTATTTTCATCAAATGATCATCCAAGTAATTCATAGAATACGACCCTAAATTCATAATCAATTCATGTTCAGTTGCTCTACTTGCCAGTTGTGTACTTTTACTTGTTTACAAATACGCGCGTTTATACCGTCTATCCAAGCCTCAAAAATTCAAATTTGTCATCATCCTTATTACTAACAGATCCCGCACTCGTAATACTCGCGTAGTCCAGACAGTACTTGTACAATTTTGACTTTATGTACTTGCATATCAGTCGTATCCACTGAAAACTACTCACACATATATAATTATCAATGAGGCACTAAATCTTTCAAAAACTATTCCATTGTTATTAGATGGTAATAAGGAGGAACAAAAGGTAAGCCATCAACACTCCAACGTAGAAGCTAGTTCATCAAACAAGCTAGATGCGACCGTGATTCAACAACAGGTAATGGTATCTTCTACCTAGCGCTAGTGACTGTTGGTCTAATAACCCATTGAAAAGTTATAATATTGTAAATTGAAATAAGACCACATTTGAAACTTCTTCCTCATTAGTTGTAAATGTAATGTTCGTAAGCCCATAATTATATTGTCAAAGATATTGAAAGTTATTTAAATTTGATCTAATTGGTAATGTCCATCAGCTTCAGGCTTTGGAAGTGAAATTGGAGGTATTGAAAGGCAAAAAGCATAATCTATTTCTGGAATTAAAAAAGGTTATTCATTATGGAATCATAAGACTTCCTTTCTTACTGCGTTTACATTAGATAAAAATATTTCTTTTCGTCTCAAATATTATTTTATAAGGTATTTGCAAACTTATTATATACCGTAATCTATTTTTGATAGGTATTACATGGAGAAGATAATAATAGGAGAAATGTTAAAGAACAAGTGTAAGAATAATTAATATGTAGTTTTAATAACGTGTTTACGTATCGCATTTCATAGATCAACATTGATATAACTTACTTTTATTTTAATGGATTATATCCTCAATGAAACGCTTAGTAATGCTGATACAAATCCTTCGAAGCCTGCTGCTACATGTAAGAATCTGTGGATAACTCGTTCGTTTAAGATTTTGAGAATTGATACATTGCCTGATCATAATAACCTCGTCTTCGATTGATATCGTAGTAGTTTTTATACTAGCTGGAAGTAGCCCGGCTTCTATCAATTTAAATACCAATATATCGAAGTACTTTCTTTTAGTAGTAATGCCGTGGTTGCTAAGTAAAGCATTAAGAAATGATTGCTTTATTAGGCATAAATATGATAAATGCATTAAAAACCACAACAAGGTGAAGGTTATTATATAGTTTACCGTGACATATTGAAAATCTTCTTTTTCAGCAACTGAAGCGGAAGGCAACAGTAAGCCAAGTTCTGCAGACAGCGCCCATGGAGAAATTTCTGCGGTATCTACCTTATATACTATTAACGATTTACTATCTCGTGTACTTCACTAATGAGTGCTACTCTTTACGCTTTTACTAATAAATTTATGTTTAATGAACTAGTATAAATCGTAATGAATAACAATTTCTTACAGATCGAAACCATCACTACTACTGTAAAGCGTGAACGTGATGACTCTACTAATAATGATGTAACTCCATCGCATAAACAGATGAAGTATTCTATGCTGCAACAAAATTATCCTTATAGCCCCTTTTACATGCAAAACTATCGGCATTTTAACCATAATAAAAATTACCGTTCTCCACAGGTTATTAACACTAGCAAAAAATTATTATAGAGTTACTTGGTTCAGATTCCGATAACATACTCTTTCATAAACTATTAGAAAAATCCAGAGGAGCAGTCATTTACGAGACCAATACATGTCCACCCACACCTTGCTCATGGAATATCTCCATTCCATCTTCAACAAAGATTTGCAACCAACCCTCAACAACTTCTTCCTCAACAGGTTTTATATTTAGTAAATTGTATTGCGATTACATTTCCGATAGTTTTATGATAAATACGCTGTCGCTTCGGTATGGGCATAGGGAATGAGGTATCACAATAATACTGAATGGTTAAAAATAACTCTTGTTGATATTGTAGCCGTCTCCAATGTTTTTTCCTGGTCAAATGCATCCTCTACTAATGCCACAGATGGGACTAGTACGTAAAATTTTATTCACCTAATTCTTCTATGTTATGCGTTGGTATGATTATCAACGCTGTTATAGTTTCATGGATTTAATGTGAATGTAATAGCCATTATGGTAATAACAAATAAAATTAACAATATTATTCCTTTTGCAGCCGCCCAGAGAAATGCCTAATTTGCGTAAGTAATCAGTGGTATCAACACAAATTTACTGTATTCGATAACTACTTAGCCTGTAATCGTAAATACGTACATGAATGTTGTATGGGATTACGTATTTGTTAATGTACGGTTGTGTTATTTCTTACAATATGAATATTTTCCGACATGTAGCCGTCTATCCAGCAGTCTCTAGTTATCAACCAGTGCGAACAACTCCTCCGACCACCCAACATGACACCACCGTCAGTAGATGGCAGTCGTGATAAGCCCCCTTTCTACTCCATAATTTAAAATTTAGCCCATACTGTAATTATTTGACTATGATTACATGAATTGGGTAAATTTAACTGCAATTCTTTGTACTGTATATAGTGTTCTTATTTGTCAGAATAAATTAAATTTCGGCACTCAGCTCTGAATATCTCAAGGCGATGTTACCGTAGCGGTTGCTCTATCTCCGTATTCTTTATTCATTAAATCGTATCGAAATACTCAAATAATTAATTCCTACGATTAATAAAATTATTTGCGATCAGTATTTATGCTCATTCCTTCTTTCGTAAATGGATTGCTATTAAAAAAATCGTTAATTCTCAAGATTAGTAAAGTACTAAGTTTCAGGTATTGTAATTATTGAATTAAATTTATAATAGTAGACCCACATTAATTGTTAATATGCAAACAGTTTAAGTAAGTAGTGCAAAATTAAGAAAGAGGTACAGTTCTTTAGCAAAGTGCTCTTGTAGCATGATTAGGTGAATACTCGCAGCATGTTCGTGTAGCTTGATAATCTTACCATTAGAAATAGTATTTGAATAGACTTGATATTATTAAGAGCGAATTTCGATCACAAAATTTGCATGAAATTCCTTAAAAACGTACACAACGATATAAAGTATTTACAGTTGATGAAAGTTTATGCTTTAGTGCAACTTTATTTTTCCTATAATTTACTTCCGTAGCATTGATAGTTGTAAAAATTCGAGAATCTACTTCCAGAAGAATCTTGTCTTTTAGACTAGTAGAATTCGCAATAATTACATAGGTTAAGCAAACGCAATAAGATCTTATTTAATATGTTTTCAAGTATTATAGATTCTCGAATTGAAATGTTAATAGCAAAAATTGTTGACAAATCGAGTTGAATAATCTCCGGTGAATTGTAGATGAACTTTGATTGATGTCTTAGAAACAATTTCGTAAAAGATAATCCGATTAAATATTGTAAAATATATAACAATTATCGTACGATTAAATTGGAAATTCACTGAAAATTGTATCTTTAGTCAGCAATAGTTTGAATCGCCAGAGCAACACGCAAATCGATGTGTACTTGCAAGCTAAAGTTGGCATAATAATAAACTGTGATAAAGTTCATTATCCATTAGCATCCAAAGTGGAAAGTGCTATAAATATTGGCTTGTCTTAAAGTGTATTTACTATCATTCTAAAGTACATACGCGTATATGCTTAATAAATTTTCTGTACTATGATGTGATGGCATAAGAAAAATTAAAATATTTGTTATTGCCATCTTGATATATCTTGCTTAACAGTGCTGCGTCAGAAATTTTTAATATAAATTATACAGTAATAGCGGCATTATCACCCAATTTGTTGTGATAGTTTACATTTAAAATTTTTAAGCAATAAGATACGTTTTGTATGAAACATAGAAGTTAACCGTAGTCTTATTATAGAATTTGTAATCATTTTAAATTTCTGGTATGGTGGCATATCATGCATTTATAAGCGTTAAGTTAGTTCAAAGAATTCATAACTGAGGAACGCTATCAATACCACGATATTTGAAATAAGCCTTATTCATTTGTTCTAAAAGTATAAATGTTAGCACCGTGTGAGGACCTAATCTTGCGTAGTAAGGGGTAAAACCCTTCCACAGCGAAAAAAATCCTTCATTGCGAAGCACTTTCATAAATATATCCTAAGGAAAATTTATAGAGAATTCATGTAAGTATTCAGTTACTAGTTAATGATAGTAGCGAGCATCTCTTGACGACATCACACATACCAAGGCCCCATTAAACTCCGGCTTTCCATCGATTACTTTCATATTTTGGAGTCTAGAATAAAGTATTACAAGAAAAATGAATATTTCAAAGTGCTTAGATATATATTATAAACCATTTAATTCTTTCTGTGACAAGAGGATGACCTTGTCTTAATAATATCTACGGGCATAGAAGCAGCAGTTGTAGCAAGACCACTGATCATACTGGCAACAAAGTGACAACCAATACCATCCTTAAGGTATCCTGGTAAAAAAATTATGGAGTTATTTAAAAATTAATCATAACTCATAGGCAAAAGGTTAGGTTACTTTCTGTAGAAAAAGCAATACAAGTTCAGAAATACGAGTTCATGCGAGGTGATCTTAGGTCAAGGCTACAATGTACGGTAATTACTACAAAGGCTATATTCGTCACTCATCAGTTTTCTGTCACTAATTATAATTATGAGTGATGACTTATTAGATGCATCTTCATTCTCAGTTTGGTCTATCAATATAAGCCATTAACATTTTCTCTATATATCAGAATTCTATCTTGCAATAGTTTCCTCGTTAAACTAAATAGTAAGGAGTTAGATGATCAAGATAAAGATCTTACTTCTACTAGCGCTAATACTAAGCAAGCAGAATGTTGCATATTAGAAAATTTTCGCCTAGTAATAGTACCTGAGTTTAGTAAAGTTTGCTTTGCTTGCGAGTATGTGGCCAGTTGTGCAGCATTTACAACCATGGCTCTTCCAATTGTAGGTAGGCAACCCTAAAAAGTAATTAACAGACAATTAATTCATAACTGTCACACCATACCTACATAAACGCTTGGTCGTGTATTAGTAACTCCAATACAGATTAGCATTTGGTTTTGCACACCGGGTATACATGCATTATATCACAGAACAGCTAATCGCAAATTCGAATGCCGGTACAACATTTCCTATTGCATCTGTAGTAAGCCATACAAATATACAATTTGAAAGAATTTTTATAGTCTGATCGTATTATCCTTACTCTCCATAGGGTTAAAATGCCTTCCTCTCGTGTAATGCGGATCAAGGCGTTAAAAACATTCGTATAACCGCGCCGTTCTGCAGCTGGTAAACTTTTATGCAAAGTATTCATCAAATTATTAAAAATATTCATATCAAAAGGTAATTTGACTTTTTTCTACAGTGCACAGTACCTGCCGTCACCAGTCATGCGAATTAGCGCGAGCTCAGCCGGAGTTCCTATAAAAGCGCCAACAGCTCCAGCTGTTATCCCTATAGCAGATTAATCGATTAAAAAATATAATGTTATTTATATTTGATATGGTGAAGTCTAATGTTTTACAATATGCTTTTTCAGCATAATTCGATTGATAACAAGATTGACTTGTTTAAAGATTGCAATACTACCTATGGCACATTTATTAATAAATGTAGGCTGCCGGCCTTGTTTCCTGCGTTATAACAAATTTTGCTCATCAGTACGTACCAAAATGATGAATTTTATTTGTGTTCGAAAGTACAATAAAAGTAGGTATACATAATTTCAGAAGCCGCATGCAGTCAATGAAGCTTTTACTAATTAATAATTAATAAGTTTATTTGATTGGTGTTCATTACCCAACAAATCGCTCAAAAAGTGTTGAATAGACGCCAAGTCGAGTAGTGGTATACGTAGCTTGACGAAGTAAGCCAGCTGACAAACTAAATATTTCAATATTTAAGAATTATACGTTGAAAAGTCCGTTGCAATTAGATAGTATGCACTACTACTCTCCTATCGAGACGCATCATGTATTAATAAATATACCATTGTACTAAGGTGCTAAAAGTTTTCAATGACAGTGATTTTTAAACAAACCCATTATATAACGTAGTTATTCCTTCATTTCGAACTATTTTTATAATGACATCCAGTGAAGATTTATAGGCCTTCGTTTTTTCACCGACACCTATTAATTAATAAAAATTTGAAGTTTTTTTCAGGGAAATGCAACTGTGAAAGGATTACAGATAACTTATCCTGATAGTAGTTGTGGACTAATATCATATCTACCGTAGAATATAATATGTTAGCATCTGACTACCTAATATACTACATTTGTTGGTATAATGACTTCAGCTAATTGTAGTAGTACAGTAAGTTGCAAATTTTGGGATACGTAGGCGAACCAACAGTAATAGCTGGAGACTACTACTCGGTCATTACAGTTGATAATGGAATGATACCGTACATGTAGGATTATAGTGCACGTATATACAGATGCGCATATGTTCCTTTAATAGGAATAGTATATATATATATATACATTAATTAATTAAAATGATGTAATAGTTAGGTTTACGCTTACTGCTTAATTGCATGCGGTTCTTGACCAAGTCCAAGGGTTGAACGAAGAGAGTAGCTCCCATTCTGAAAGTGAATAGAACAAATAATAATCAAATAATTTCATGGCATTGAAATATATATGATACCATTAGCCGTGAACCGAAATTTTATAGCTTCAATGAGGGCAAATTTAACGGAAAGTATAGAGAACCATGCACTTTGCTTCATATCAAAGATAAATATCTAATCAGTACCTAACTATAAAAACTTGTATAGTACTGTATTATAATTACCGCATTATATTCTAATTTCAATACTGCGTGATTGAGCTTTACTTAGCGGATAACAATGACCACAGCAAAAGTTCTACGCATGCTGTATCATGGATTACTACAGTAAATTAGTTAATACATAATGCAAACCATGTAACTTTACAAGAAATGCGCAAGGTCAATTATTCGACAACTTTACTCATATGAGTTAGGAGTATTCTAGAGTTGTTGTTTCGAAGACTGGCTATAATTAATTAATTATAAGACACCATGACCGGTCAAGCGTGTCGCTTTATAGCGTGCTCTTGTGTGAACTTGGCCAATCCTAGGATTGCTAATTTGCTATGCATAAGTTGAGTATGAATGTAACGCTTCTAATCAAGAGGGTATTATTGTACTAAATGTTCCATGGGTGAAAGATTTATTAAATAAGCAGCCTTGACCATCATAAGAGTTCTATTTTTTGTAAGTGAAGCTTTTGCGTGTGCCGCTCGCCAAGAACATACTGTAGGTAATGCTGTATACGCGTCTCTGCAGATTACCCTTGAACAGATAAAGCACTAAAGAAATTGGACAATTTAGTAAAAAAATTTAAGCTTAGGAATGATGCAATCAACACAACTGGATCATTGCATAGGTAGGTAGTAGCAACTAGCAACTGCAAGGCAATGTTTTGCATCGATTGCCGAACAGAACAGTACTATTGCAGTCAGCTACGTATTCAGGAAACGTATCCAGTTTTGGTCGATTTGCTACGATCTACAGCGCTACTACTAGGCACCTTGTCACTACAATACTGATGCTACACTACAGACAATTCACTGTCGCCTATACATACCCTGCTCCACCACCAAATGCAAATTTAATGGCCTTTGGTACTGAAGGGGGAGAAGTATTTTTCGATGTGTTGGGTGCCATGATCGTGATTTCAAGCCAGCTGCAATTGAAATTTGGTAGTATAGGTAGTTGTAGTCTTTAATCAGGTCTTTTTGGTAGCTTCAGAATTTATTGTAAGAATTTCCAACAGACTGCATGAACGATTGAAAGGGTGTGTGGAGATTTACGATTTAATATTAATTGCTGCGGTAAGTCAACAGAAGACACAACGATAACCTAACCTAAATTCTGCATTGCCCAGCCAGAATTTTTTTAATTGACCTTGCCTTGGCTCTACCCTATCATCTTGATCATCAAAGGACGTCGTAGACGTACAGCGCTTGCTCAGTTATACAGTACATGCTGTACCGTAGAATGTACACTAGAGACCCTGTATTGTGTTCGTGTTCTGTACAGTGTACATACAGTACAGTACAGTACTGTACACTGTACAGTATGCAGCAGCGTTTGGCGAAAGGGGTCACGCTGGTACGGGGGTTAATATTAGTTAACCGGTATGGAGCAAATTATTCGGTGGGACAAACTGGTTTTTACCACTTGCATTAGTGTACTTTGGCACATCATGCGTTCATGCTATAGTGTACATCAGAGTCCTGCACAAGTGTAGCATGGAATTAGATCCCTTGCATTTTCTCTATAGAAGAAACTGTTAAAATGGAAATTTCTTATAATGAGAACTCTCCTTTACAACGATTGAGGTTACATAATACTAAAACAAAGTTAGCTAAATACAACCATCAAGACCTCAACTTCTTCACTGTGCTAAAACTAAATCGACTTTAACCATCTACATGACACAAATGTAAAACATCATCATCAACAAGATTTGTAAGAAATTTCCATTTGAACAGCTTTTACTATAGAGAAAATGCAAGGGATCATCAACCAGATTTGTAAGAAATTTCCATTTAAACAGCTTTTACTATAGAGAAAATGCAAGAGATCCAATTCGATCGATACACACTACTGTCGCGCAAATGGTACAGTACAGTACACTCAGTGAGTACAGTACAGTACAGTACAGTACAGTAGTGTGTACTGTACTGTACTGTACTGTACTGTGCTGTACCGTATGATGTACTGTACTGTACTGTACTGTATACTGTAGTGAATACTGTAGTACGTAGACAGATCACTCTTGGACGGACTGACTTTTAACATTTCCTTGCGATACTACTTTAGTATGCAGACGGCCGGTTTTAAATGAACTGATTTTTTTCCAAGTTGAAAATATTACGTTGAATCTTATTATCCGCTACTATGTTTGCATGTTGATCCCTAAGTTCTGCTTGGAAACAGACTGTTGATGTTATTGATTTAGAAATAAATTAGTACCACTGATTTTAGAAATTGTACACAGTACTGTATACTGTGGGGAACAAATGCGCATAGTTCGATTTTAATGCTGGCGAAGCGAGTACTTCAATTCGTAAATAAAGAGTCTCTATGTCTCCAGTAGAACAATTAGAGTACAGTTAGTGTGGACTAACACGATATCAAAGTTCATCTTATGAGTTATGGAGTTGCTTAAATTGAATAATCGTATGTAAATCTGCAATCTCTGTATTCACATAACCAACTTTCGAAGTAACAGAAATTCACTCACCACTTACTTATTCTGTATACATTGTAGTATTCTACAACTGTACATTTCATAGTAGAATTTGACTATAATACTATGACGACTAATAAGAGAATAGCATACAGTCTTAGCCAATTAACGAATTCATTATGATTTGGTTGGCATTACTTAATAGATTACCATGGGTTGATTGCTATGCAGTATCCATTTGCAAGTCATTGATAGAGCGATTTTTAAAATAAAACTATTTATACTCGTATGTACCATAATGTGTTACAGTGTCTTACAGCACCGTGGTACACTGTCTACAAGATTTACAAATCAACGATTAGATGTTACGCTTGCAATCGAACCAATGTTGTAATCAAACTCAATAAATATAATAATTATAATTATATATCCTTAAAGATATTGTTTTCAATTTCCGATTCATATTTTGTACGCGTTGCACGCGATTAATTGAATATTCATGAATTTTCCTTAATTAATTATTTATTTATCGGATAGTTATTTATATCAACTTATTTTGATACAGTAGGTTGGACCAACCGTTGGAGTATCACTGACCTTAATGCGATTCTGTCTTAATTAAATATGTAGTAATTATTTTTATCTTATTGTTTAATCTGTCTTTCAACCGTATACATTATACAGTAGGTATATTACTGATAATACAGTTGCTGTATGCCATACAGCGTACTGAATGTTATTCTACAAACTATGGTATATATATATCGTTACTAGGATGTTCCGTTTTTGGACATAATAATCTACGCCTATTTAAAAAAAAATGATTTAGTTATTAACATATAGCAAATTTGAGTTACAATGTACTCAAGCAACGTGTACAAATAATCAGCGTTTTAGCATGAAACTCAGTATGATCCCAAAGTGCCGATAGCCCACTAGAATTATCGTCAGATGAATCGTGACCGTTATCCATGTCTAGCCATTTTTTACTACCAACAATATGTAAAGGCGACAGTAATTGAATAACGAATGCAACCATGGAAACAGAGACTAAATTAGTACATGCACCTGTCATATAAATCCTTAAATTTGTATACAAAACTGTAGCATAGGATATTCAGTATCGGCAATACCACATTTATAAATATTTATTTCGTACAAAATTGTATTCTTACTAGTATAATTACGGTACCATATACAACTTGCGTATTAGGTATTAAAATTGTTAATGTTTATTCATAAAAATTTTCATTCGTATACACTGGCATGTACGCTGTAAAGAGTCATCCGGTTAAATAATAAACCGATTCGCTATAACGTAAAATCAGAAATCAGATACAGACGACTGAAATTTCAGTATAATCTGATTATGGAGAGAAAATTACCTTCTCTATCGTAGAAATGCCAAATTTACACTACCGACGTAATATTTGATGGTACACAAGAACTAATATTGGTGTAGTGAAGATTTATATATCTTACTTAAATTTTTCGATTATTACTGCCCAAATTACTTTTGGACTCTATTTAAAATAATCACGGAAAGATGACAGGCGGTTCTAAAAAAAGTTCCATCAGCGTAACTTCGAATAATGAGTCTATGCTTGTCTTCAATAAAGATATTTATAAAAGTCACGATGCCATTATTATAACTGACGAAGCCAGGAAAGTAATGTCCAAAGGATTAGACGAAGAACGCACTGAGAAAGAGTTACGTGCTCTTAGAGATGTTGTTGCTGGAATGAAATTAATTCACAAAGGAATGCAAATTATACAAGAGAGCTTATGTAGAGTTATAACTTACGAGAGACACAGCGCTGAAGAAGTTCTATATCGACAACCTTGGGAACAGTTTATGTCTTGCTATTACATATTATCAGGAACTGTTAGAATGCTGTACGAACAGCCAACAATGAACGTTAGATGTGGCCTAATCCATCAACATTTCACTGGAGAATATATTGGTTCGTTAGCATTAATAGAAGATGATCCTATCGGAACTGGTGCACCCTTACCGATGCGTATGGTCATTGTAGATGCATGTGAATTACTACGGATTGATCAGAGGCAATTTAAGTTGACATTGGAAGCAATACAAGAACGACATAAAAAGAAAAAAATTGAGTTTATGAATAATACAAGCGTCGTAAAGTCTTTGCCTGAAGCTGATATGTTGAGGATTATACCTCTATAACTGTAGTACTGAATACTCGTGNATAGAAGCACTAAATTTTATTTAAACTTGAGAATTCTTTGGCTAACAGCCGTACACTTAGCTTAATCAGACGTATCAATGGAACTAACTAGTAGTATATTACAGGCGCTTTTAATTTAAGGATTATTTATTATTTACAGTATCTACGATTCTATTAAGTACCTTACCGGTATATATGAAACTTAAATTGATATAGATTACGTATTGGTCAAAATTTATTTAGTATCATTAATACGAAGGTATAGATAATATGAAGAATGAGAAAGCAAATCATTGCGTTAGTTGTCAGTTTAAATTATGTAAATTGGAGGAATACCCTATTATTAAATGTGTAGTGTTAAGAAAATGTAGTGCCTTTTAGGTTTATCAGTACTTATAAATTTAATTTCATTCCACGAATGGAGTTAAGCGTCTAGTGCTACAATCTTAGAAATAATTACTGAAATAGCAACCGCTAGCAATTTGGGTTTCCAAGTCTTTTAAAACCTACAATAAATGCAACTAAAATTTAACTGATTTTTGATATGCTATAATATCCTAGATTTGACTTTACACTTCTCCAATGATTAGTTTTTGCTTAAGTCCTGTTTTTAGCTTAACTTTTAATTGTTAGGATTCCATGACTGTTTGATCCTAAATATTATAAAGATACTAACTATTGTCCTTATGTATGTATATATTGTATGCACATTTATAATAGCTAGATGTATACTCTAATAATATAACACTGTTTTGCTATTATTTCTATGTAAAGATCATTTCACATAGAATAGTGGTTATAAAATAATGGATTTTACATGTGAATGAAATTAATTTCAAAAACATACATAAACATATAACAAATGAATTATCGTAGAAGTAAGACATAAAATTTAACATTTTATTTGAGAAAAGTGAATATCGATAGCAGTAAACTTTAAGATTACTATTACAGTGCCGAGTTATCATCCTATAATACTAACTAATCAAATTTGATCTGGTAAATCAGTCACAGACTAACTCTTAACTATGATACAATCTATTAACCTAATAGGCATACCCGCCGGACAAACTCATACTGCACGAAGGTCAAAAAAATGTTCACCTATATTTTTTAATAAAAGGTACCAATAAGAGGACAATATGTGCCATTTATTTTTATCAGTCAATTTTTCTGATTGATTCTAGAGCTCTAGTAATTATTCGTTCCCTTTCATCTTATCTTAAATAAAAGACAAAAATCTAGCGTGGTCCTTATATTTGCTGCTATCGTTCTAAATATATTATATCATTATTATTCAATAATTATAAATTATTTAATTTGTAAGCGGTTTATTCTTACTATTGGATTGCAGTATCAACAGTATCGAATAATTTGCGATGATTCGGTCATATGAAATGTTATAGTACTTACACTTTACAGCTTGTAAATTATCTGATTCTGATGCCATGCTGTCTACTTAATGTAGGACGATGCACAAAGTATAAGAAAGTATTCGTCGAACGGAAACAGCAACATGAAATTATAAAATTAGGAATGATTCAAGAAGGTATAGTCATATTGATGGTAGTTTAATTATAGCATATATAAAACTTTGTTGTATAATTTCAGTCAGTTTTTGCTTAGATTACGAATACGATATTTAAATAAAGTTTAATTACAAGGAAAATCGCGTTGGCATGATTATAATAAAATATATTCCTTCATTGCGGTTATACTTTCCAATTTATCATTCCATAACGATCTTCACTGATTTAATGTCCTTCTTATTGAATGCATTCAAAATTTTATATAATTTATGAAACACTCTAGGTCATTTTTTTGGTGAGTGTTCCATATTAGAAAATTCTGCTAGTTGTTACTCGGTTTTAAGTGATGGCTTCTCTACTTGCTATTTGATAAGCCTGTAAGTAGCAAGGGTATATATTAGAGGTTAAAAGTAGCTCAATGCTATGTATTTAGACGCTTACGAGACTTTTATACCTTAGAGAATAGCATCTATTAGTATTTTGATACTATATACGGTGCATGCACTCGTAGATTGAATTGCCTTCGATTGCGATGCCATATTGTAGCTTTTAAATATTTTTATCAAGACGCCTATGTTAGCTGTTTTTGTGAGGGATTGCTCTACAAAATTTTCCTCTTAGTCCGTTTATACCGCACTCAACAAAAATCAGGAGTTATTGGTAGTACATGGAGGGAGTTTTTGTGTAGTATTCCCTACTTCTGCATGCTAGTTTTTATAGATTTAAATTAAAAATATCAAATACATATCCTCTTACTTTTCGCTTAAAATTAGCTAAAATGCCATTTCGTTACGAACTTAGAAAAATGTTTTAATTTAACCCTTGATTGATAGGGATGATATTCAAGCCTACGGCGGTGAAAACTTTCTACAGTTAGTAAGAAAAAAAAGAGATGACATTCCAAGTAACGTGAACATGTTGGATATTGTTAGAAGAAGTGAAGTTTGGGAACGTTTTAAGTCTGATATAGTGATAGAAATGATAGATACTAATCAGCAGAATCGTCAAGAGTCGAAAAGATACGCATTCGAATTTAAGGATACAAGGACTGCATGCACAAAAATACAAATTTTACCAAGCCGGTAACTTATTTTCCTAATATTTGCTACAAAATATTTTGATAAAATAAAAGACAGATATATGTCTTTATAATGAAATTACATGATAAGCCATCGCAGATCGTTACTTGCATTGCCTAAATTCATCTAACGATTTCTCGCATATCGAATTACTTATTATAAAGTTACATTTTAATAAATAGATATTCAAGAAAGAGTAATCGCCCTCTTATTTCACGTAATGGGCCTTTTAATGGATCTACTTCATCCAAAAAAGATCAAAATTGTAATTCTGACTTGAGCTCCATGCAGTCAAATCGTCGCGATATTGATTTAGCATCGACATCATTAACTAAACGAAGTTTAAGTCAGCCTTCTGTAACATTAAATCTTCAAGCAAATAGCCATAATAGTATTTTCTCTGGTCGTAAATCAGCGAGCACAAATGATATTAGAAAATTGGAAAATTTTTCAGAAGATAGTTCGGCTAGGTAATCGATTTTTACTTAAAATATAGATACATTTCATTTTATTTAGATAATACATTTATTTCCCCATAATTTGGGGGAATTTTCTGCATTATTAATGGTTATGATAGTATTAACAGAAATGTCAATAAAATTAAAATTTTATTTTACCCATACCAGTAGACACATTGTGGAAGCTAACGAGGAGAGTAAAAAGCAGTTATCTTATGCAGAAGATCGTATAGAAGATTTAAAAATTGGTCTCAGAAAGAAGTCAGCTGATGTTACGCGAGATAGATTGCTGTTGAATAATGCTTTAGATGAACTAGAAAGTGCATCCGTAAGCTCCACACCACCGGTAAAGCACTCTATCTTGAAAGATCGAGTTAGATAGATACTGCTTATGCACGTAGAATGAGTTATGCTACTGGGAATGACTTTTGCTATGCTAGTCTAATTTATACTGTATATGGGGTATATCAGTAGGAACTAATTCCACGATAGAGCTGTGTTGTATGCTACCAATAAAGTACGTTTACATTTAAATGATTTATATAGATGCAATGTAAATTGAGGGGTAATTTCAGGGTATTAAATTATTTAATTGGAAATATAGCATAGTGCTTTCTTGATTTACTACAAGTTCTTACAAGTGATTAAATAGCTAATGCATCGATTTATTATACGGATAAATTTAGGTCAATCCACAATCAAGTCACGGCCAAAGACGCAAAAATATCTTCGAAGATGGGCCGCCAAGTCACGTACAATTCTTGGAAGCAACGGCTCACATCCGAGATGCAGTAAGACACACGTTAGATAAATTATCACTGGTTATTTATTTATAATACACTTTATTCAAATTAAGTCTTTCGTCATATTATAAATTTATAAAACAATTTTACTTTACAGAATCAAGCCTTAAGGGTATCTACTGCCAATATTAATTCAGCATGTACTAGCTTCGCTCACGAATTAATTTTCGATTCTATTACAAAGAAATTTGTTCGTAAGGATAGCATTAAAGATAAGGTACAATTTAGCAAATTTAGTTGATTATATTATTGCTTTACGATTTTAAGAGCATTTCCATACTTTCTGATTTATTCCTTTAATAGCATGCATAAGGATCGTTGTTGTGAAAATTTCATGCTCAATTACTAATGATTTTCCTATCTTTCAGAAAAAAATAACTTGGCCAACTCGACCACAAACTGCAGATGGTATAACTAGAAAAAATAGCGGTAGAAATTCCGTCTTGCCGCAATCTCTGCGTCGACAGTTGATTATCAGAAGGAAAAAAAGAGTTTCAGAATCAGAATCTATACGACCGCATACAACCCCAGGAACTACCGTACGACATGGTATAGGATCATTATCTTTAAGCGAAGACTCTAGTAGTTCGGATAGTTGTTTCACTCCAGATGAAAGTGAAATTAAACGTATGACAAGAAGAAGATAGAAAATAGATAATTTTAATATAAAAATTCATGTAGCACTTTATCGAAATTTACTTGACAAAAATTATTGATACTTCACAATGGGAAGTACAAGCATAATTTGAGTATTACCTGATGGAATATTGACTAGTAAATTTCATTAGTTATTATTGTATCTATTACTCATATTATGAAAAGATAGATATTTTATTTTATTTTTATGATTAGTGGCTTTTTAGGCGTAAACCATTGGTCAATGGTATAGATCAAGATCAATGTGGGAAGAGTAATCATAACTATTAAATTTTTCAATGCACTTATAGTGATATATAATAAATATACAGTATAATTAGCCTTTTCTCAAATTGAACAGAGTATGTTAGAAATTATTAACTATATACAGATTTAATAGTTTTTAGGTAGCTGCAGATCAGGACACTGTATAAATTGCTATAAGATTATCAACGGATGATATATGTTGAGTTGCTTAAGGGTTAATATCTATGATAATTATTATCATGTTACTGCATCGTTTCAACGTCCTATGACATTATTGCCTTTGCTGCTTGATTAAAATCGAAAATTATGCAATAAATAATAAGTTATGATACTAATTTACCGATGATCATCGTTTAATTCTCGTAGTTGTTTAAAAATGAACCCGTTCGCCCATAGTGTAAACTTTAGAGATTCAAGTATTCAATGAAATCAGTAATTTATAATTTCAATGGGCCAGATGAAAGATAAACTAACGATTGTTTATCACCTTCTATACAGTACAGTATAGTAACCGTTTCCAAGTAAATTATAAGGTTGGATTAATTAGTTGTTTTACTACAGTAATAGCAAAATCCGCTCAGGCGCTGTTATATCTGTTAAATGTTCCACATACCTCTGAGAAGACCTAAAGAGTGCAATAGCATGAGATCATTGGCATGTAATGGAGGTCGTATACAGTGTTTGATATTCCACGTAAAGGAATGCTACCTTACGTTTCCTTACAACTGCTGCAGTTATGTAGCTAATATCGTACATCATGCTATCGTGTACTGTTACGTGAGTTACAAATAATTAGTATAAGGAATTCTGACAGTAAGCTACCCGTTATCAATGCTTATCGCGAAATCTTTATCGCATGTCAATAACCACTATCTAATATATTTATCATTATCGTTATCACAAATTGATTACAGTATCACATTTTTAAAAATTGATTAACCGTAAATACAGTATTATCATTGATTACTGTAATTATTATCTTTTTCCCAGTTAGATAATTTTAATTTTATTATACTGTACAGTACAGTATCAATAAAAATTCAAATTATCAGATATTTATAGAGCTTCACGATCGCATGTGCACTATTGTGCAGTATAATTTGCACAGTGAGCAGCATAATTTGGAGTCATATTAGGTAAAAAAGCGATATTTTTTCGGATGTTTCTATACACCGACTAGTCAGATACAGATAACTATACTATACAGTACAGTATAGTCGGTTTACGACTACAAATCTATCAATATAAGCTTCGTGTCAATGTATGGATTGGAATGGAATGTGGCATATCGCAATCTTTTCGAAAACTGATCAACTAGGTTGCTTACTGCTGTGCGTATTTACAGTATAATTGTACTAATTAATTAACAATAATGCTTTGTTTGGAGTTTTACATCACAACTATAAAAGTTACAAATGCAATCGGTCTCACTTGTACTGTTTTGCATATTGAAACTTTGCTATTTGCTGTTCTGCTGTACCTGTACTACTCTACAGTACAGTAGATACGGATGGATCATTTAATTAAGGTTAATTCATTAAAAAGACGCGCACGTTGCGTTTGTGATGAAAATTGACTGTTTACAACTATACAGTATATCGTCGCTAGTAGTTTCGAATAAGGCGACACCAAATATTGCGCCTCTTATCTAATCTACAACAGTTGTCATTGCATCCGTCACGCAATTTACTCGAAAAATATTTGCCAAAAAAACATTTTTGATTGTTGACGTAATTTCATCGGCTACTTGCTGAAATAGCACCTACTTACAAACATAAAGATTGCACTCTACAGCACCGTACTTACTGTTTAGTCAATTACTTGTACTGCAAGATTATTAACGTGTCTTATTGCGCTACATTTACTTATTTACGTTATTATTTTGGTTATTTACATTTTGATTTTATTTACCTGAAGTTCTACGTATAATTATAAATAATCAGTCAGCATACCCGTCGCGTTGCTGACTTAATTCGGTACATAGGTTATGGTTCATGTGCTCCCAGGCTTGCAATCGCCGATGCAAAACCATTTTACTAACATTACTGCGCGGTTCGTATAACATTTTAACATTTTACAGCCGCTTTTTTTGCATTTTCTGCCGCCACTCATTTGTATTTGAATCTACGGATTTTAGGCAAAAACGTTATGATCTTTATATAAAACTACTAACTAATAATTTTCTATCCACTGATGGAAATAAGTAGCTAGACAAGGTATTTTTCTACTTTTATTCAAGGTATTCTCTGGCGAACATAGACTTCATAGTACTAGAAATGTGCCGACATTTAGTAGTCCATGAATATGGACATAGAAAGAACTTTTCTTCCTCTACTGGACAGTACAGGATGCGCATTAGCCCCTACCTGGGGCTAATGCTGATGACAGGCGAACGCATCTGCTAAATGCAAGAGCTGGTTACTGCTAACAGGAGCTAGTCGAGCTCAAGGTGGATATGGACAGATGGACAACCCGAAATTTCCTGCCAGATCATTCGTTGTTTCGTACAGTACCTGTACAGTACTGTACTGTACTGTACCGTACATCGATAGTGGTAGAAGAAAATCTTTTCTTTTTACAGTAACAGCACAGTACAGTACTGTACTGTAATGATTCGTACTTCGTACTGTAAAGTGCACAGTAAAGTGTACAGTACTGTACTGTACTGTACGCTACACAATCTCTACTCACAGTCCATTTCATTACTACTGTACTGTACACTGTACCGGAACGGCCCGCATGGGCCGCTTCTGTACCGTACGTGGACGGTATACTGTTACTTTACAACACAGTACTAAACGTACTGTGTTAGGGACTTGTGTGCTCCCTCTTTGAAACGTTGAAGTAGAATAGGCTGATTTTGCTGTAGTCAAGGCTGTAGCAAAAGGAGACGACGAAGCCTTTAGCGCTTTCTGTAGGGATTTGAGAGTTTTTGATTACATTGGCATTGGTAACCTGAGGAAAGGGGAAATCAAGTTTATTTTATGCATTCTTGACCTTAGATGCCCATTCTTGCCTAAACTTTATTTAAATGTCTAGTGACTGAATGCATGTGGCTGTGAAGTTGTATGATACATATGCATAAAACATGGCTATGAGATTATTAGGTCAAATTGTAAGTTTTTCGAGATAATCTCCTTGATTATAGTAAATAATTATAATTATCACTCGCAGTTCCATCTTGATTTACTGGTTAATTGATTATTACACAAGATGCAGTATTATAGCTAGTCGTAATAACTTATCGTTTCATTCGTAGCACAGACTAGAGTGCATGCAGTAAGCATCCAGATTTATTAAAACTGTGCAACATAAATTTGTAGAAATGATTTACAACATGAAGTATTATATGACGCCTTAGATGCAGTGATGAGCTGGTTAAAGTTAATCACATGTCAATACTTATTGCTAATACTTTGTAGCTCTACAATGTATATGCTTGGGTGAGCACTGATTTCAGTTATTCTGCTATTTAGGTTAATCAGATAGTAATTGCTAGTAAATTTCAAATTGGTACGGTCTTGCCAAGCAAGGTCAATTCTGGGCTACTGCATTCTTCTGCCTTCTTACAAGGTCGTGCACTACTAAATAAGAAGAATATCTTTAAGAAGCTAAAACATGGTAAGGTCAGGATTAGTGGCCGTGATAGCACTGGTAGAAAGAGTGTTGGCTACCGTGGTGGTGGCCATAAACGCTTATACCGTTTGATAGATTTCGTACGGGCTCCACTCCTTGAAAATGCCAGCAAATCCACTCGTGTCACCGAAGATGTAATAAAAAGTAAAGTCTTAGCTATTGAGTATGACCCTAATAGATCTGCTCGAATTGCATTAATTGCAGACACGAAGAGAAAGTACATACTTGCTCCAATTGGTTTGCAGGCTGGAGATGTTATTACTGCATCTCGAGGTCGTCCGGCCAGCTTAGCTGATATTCAACGTGGCGATTGTTACCCATTGCAACATTTACCTATTGGTACAATTGTGCATAATATTGAATTAACCCCTGGTAAAGGTGGTCAATTGGTTCGTTCTGCAGGGACTTCTGCACAAATTATAAGAAAGGAATCCGGTGAAGTAAGACGCTTGAATGCCCATGGAACTTATGTTACTAGATCTGGAAAGGTTGTTGTTTTGCGTATGCCTTCAGGAACGAATGTACCTATCAATGCTTTTTGCATGGGTACCGTTGGTAGACTTTCGAATGAGAATCATAAACATCGAATTCTTGGCAAAGCTGGTAGAGCCAGATGGTTAGGCCGGAGACCGAGGATGAAGAAAAAGTTCGTTGTCAAAGTTCGCTAGTTCTGAAAGAAGGTTACGCGGAGGTGTTATGTTACCCACTTTATTAGTACTTGGCATTATTAATTGCTCTTATCCCTTTGCTCTTTGCAAAACGACGTCTGATTGCATAGTATGTTGTGAAAATTTTACGATAATTCTGAACTGTAAACATTTTATGCGAAAGCTTTTCAAGGTCGTTATAGTTGAAATTTATTCAGTGGGAGATTACCGTAACTAACTGAATTTTCTTATAAGACACAATATTGCAGTCCACAGTTCAATTAATGGACGGAACTGTATAACAACAATTGTTTCTGATGGATGTAAATACGAAAGAAACCACAGTGTGTATAAGAATAATATATGCGCAGTTCGCGTGCAAATGCACGCTTGCAATAAATCAATGTACACAACATTTTATTGAACGTTACATCACTGAATGTCCATGTAATTTTATATAAGTGTTACTAATAACGAAAGGAGAAAATGCATGTTGTACCGTCAAAGTGGCTGTCTTTACAATGTTTGTATGATCGTATACCCTGCAGATAATTTCTTTAAAAAATTTGCTTTGCGATATAGTGTCTGGTCTTTTTTTCAAGTTTCAGTAATAGGACTGACTGGGCAGGTTTAGCACAGTTTGATTTGGAACTTTGAAATTTTACATAATATTAATTTTTAATTGGGTGACTGCAATTATCATATCATAGACGATACACAGCTGAGTGTTGTAGTTGGTCGTGAAACAAAGTGAAGAGAAAGTATGATCACGTTTGCTGTGAATTCAAGAGTATTTTAGACATTTATAGTTATTACGGTGTTTTGTTAGAACTACTTTGCAATAGAATATCTAAATACTTGATACTACTCGCATTCTACAGCATGCAGAGTTCTAAGACAATCGTACACATAATACTAATTGATAGAAACTAAGAACTATTTCCTGCCAGATTGAAAGAATTTACGTAAGGATAGATCGAGTTCTTACTTTTATGCTGTAGTTATGAATGAATTGCTGTAAAAGCATATCTTTTGCCACAAAATGCTTGCACAGTATATCAAAGTATTGGAGGTAAATTGAAAATCGTAAAATGGTGAAATAGCCGACGTTATTTATGATTCTCTTGGGCTTGGTTCCTTAAAGCAGAATTAGTTAGCAGAAATATACAGCGACATAGTTACTCTGCCTGAGCTAAGAAATGAAGTCGTACATCAGCTTTGGGTCCATTGCATTGATTCGCAATTATTTATTGTAAAATAGCGCTGTAGATTATTCTATCTCGTAATAAAATTTTAAATTACTGCATATATACAATTTTTGATAATCATAATTTACTGTGTATATAAAATGCCTTACATAAACTCCAGTTCAATGGACAGTATAGCTTGGCTAGTCAGGTACTAATAGTACGTTACAATATTAGAAACGTTTTCTAGTAGTCTTCGCTATTGCGTAACTGTTATTGAGAACATCAACATTATAAGTCAGATTATATTGTACTGCACACTTGATGGGGAATACATAAATATTTCTATGATTGATTATAGCAACCATAATAACGCTCGTTGGTTATCTGAATAGGAATATCATACGGTGGTGGGATGTCTTGACTAATCGATGTTGGGATCCTTCGAGAAAATTCATCTAGTAGAAACATAGTAGAACATATATATCATTATTCTGTTGGTTCGACTGCATTCATGAAAGAATGGTAACAGTTAATTCTACCCGGTTTATGACTTGCGTTATTCCATTGATCATTGCTATGGACTAGTTCAAATCAAAATATTCTCTCTACAGTACTGTGCGTACACTTACAGCATATAACTATACATAATCAATTCAATTTTATTACACCAGTGATATAAAGACTTGATAAAAGTAATGAAAATCTACGGTATTGTACCTTTCTAGCAATTAGATCAATTTTTAGTTTGCAGAAATGTAAGTACTATTTGTAGTATAGATTCTGTAAATTCTGAAATGCTTCTCACCTTTGATTGTGTAAATTGAGTCCAGCGAAGGGGTATTGTACAAATTTAAACCAACATAGCTAGCTATAAATAAGACGAATGATACACATACATAGATTGGTCCAGTGATTGCCCAATGCCTGATGTAAAAATAAGATGACTTTTAATACGTACCCATTCGTAGTACTGTATTATAGCTCATCGTTTACTCTCTACTGTTCATATCTTTCGATTTTTATATATTGGACTACTTCCTTACAGTCTTTAATGAATTATAAGTACGATACAAAACGACTTTTGCAGATAGCTATTGGATTTTGTAGTCAATATTCTAGGAATAAAGGTGATGTAACGTACAATATAGTACGTAAATGAAGTAAATCAATTATAACTACTTTACAAATTCTAGGATGAAAGTAGTTACGTAAACTGTTCGTCCATGCTACTAGACTGTACTATACCAGTACTGTATATTGTATCGGCTTGCTATGCTCACTGCCGTGCTTACTTCTGTGGCCGGTAAGTCAATCCAACTTCTGTTAGCCATTCATCTGGAATGACGGCCCACAAAGTGTAGGTACCTTCAGTCAAGTCACAATATTTATGATTGATTACTAGTTGTAATAATTGCATAGTAGAGCACCATATCATTGTAAAATCCCATTGGAGAATTACTAGACTTGAGTGATGCTTTTAACTTTATTAAAATGTTATTACAATATGCAGTGTACAATAGAGCTCACCCAACAAGACATAAGTTGTAACATATAAGACGAAACCATAAATGGCCCGCGATGGAGTTGGCGATGGATGATGCTCGGGTGCTATTTTGATGTCCATTTTAAATTATTAATTGATAATAATTATTCAATCGACATGCTAATCACTCTACTGTACTGGAAAACATTTATCTTGTTACTAACTTGCATACATCTACAGACAAGAGCTAGAAATCAACATGAATCGGTCCATTATCATTGTCTGATTATCGTTAAAAATTAATACCGCTAATCAATTAATCAATACGGTACTGTAAATAAAAGAAGCTAAAATATTCTGAGTTTCATTTAAGAGCTAGTTGACGATAATGATGATAATTAATTAATTTACAGGCACACTGTCTGGTGGCCACTTATTGATTGAATTTTTGAAGGACTTTGACTCCGTATCCTGACCAGTATTTAATGCACTACAGTACTAGGCTGATCAGAATCAGACAGTATGTTGTTGTAGCGACATTATACCGTACTGTACTGTACTCGCTAAATCCACTTTTGACTATACGGTACAGTACGCACAGGGTATGGTGAGCTTACAGTCAGTACACCACTGACCTTCAACAATGTCTGCCTGCCCCTACGTTCAAGGTTACAAGTTTTGTAGCGTAGAACAGAAATACTGTCGTGCCTTTTTTGGTCTGTCAGTCTGGATAAAACGTCAATGTCAAACAGCAGTCACATATTGACAAGTTACAAACACCAAATATTCAAAAGAGACCCATTTGATAAACGGGACTGTACCGCCAAGAGACCACTTAAAAAGGAAAAGACGCAGTGCCGCCGCTGCCATAGTACATGTACTGAAGCGCGATGATCTACACCGTATGGACAAGTAGAAAATAGCTGCAACTCTATTGACTGTACCGTATCGTGGAGTGTACAGTACATTGTACTGTACGTACAATAAAGCACTGTAATCGATGCAGCCAGAGTAGCGGATGTTCAACATCGTTGACTGATGGCTGAAATAGTTAAGGGCGGACCCTTATACGGTAAACAGTGTCCGGCGCGACGAAAAAACCACTTCGTCTGCTTTTAAGTCATTTTTTATAACACTAGACTTAAAATATCGACGTCAAGTTAATATCATTAATATAATTGTAATTAAATTTAAATCCAGTCGTCCACAAGGGACTACACATCAATTTTATCTAGTTGAAGTGAATCCCACCCACAACACTACATTCCAATCATGTATTGTTATGCAATTTAAGACGTTGCAGTAAAAATAACAGAAAAATATGTACGTCAATACTTACACTGATAACTATTTACGCTTGACTGCTTAATACTACAGTCTATACGATACAGCGCTATCTCCGTATCAAACTCGTTCCGTACAGATTGCAGAAACAACTTTTTTTTTAATTGACAATGGGATACGTGCTTTGATAGGATAAATCCTTATTACGCAAGCGTGAAAGCAAGTGTGTTGATTTAAGTAGATTATCGGGCCGTGGAGTCAGCAGTCAATTTTTTCCAATGTTACTGTTCAACGCTAGGGGTAAGTCTATAAATGTCGATTAGTCTATTATTTTGTTGCAATCTTCCCTTTCTCATCGTTTTTACTGTTCTTTACTCCGGCTGTATGCTTTTCCAATAAATAATCCCATTTTCTTTCCTTGTTGTTAGCTTTTGTTAGTCCATGTTCAATAGTTAATTAGGAGTTAGAAGATTCGTCAAAAGATATCTCGTACGGTTTTGTCGTTTTCTGTCTTATCTAACACCAACTTGTTATTTATTTCTCCCTGGTTGTATCGGTTTACTCGTTTTTTTTTCTCTGTGCTAGTCTGTTTGACGGTGAGCTAGACGCTGTTGTTGGAAATGATTTATTTTTTAAGATAAACTCTAGGATAGACGAATACGTCTTAATAAGCTACTGTATTGTATTGTATGGTAGACGATGTTATATAAGATTAGTATGCGCAAGGAAAGAAAATTGAACGAGTAGAATGGTTGAATACTTTTTCTTCTTTTTCTAGAAACGCCTTTTTGCCCCCGTTTAGTACTGTACGTACGGTCGTAGATTGGAAGAAAGAATAAAACTTTGAGCGCGTTAACTTGATATAGTGTTGTAAAAAATGTTTCACTGCTATGGTAATAGCAAAATTCCCGATGGATATGGTAATTGTCCAGTACCAGGATTTGCCTATCCTGCAAATCGACCTGTAGTCAGATTGTTATTAGACAATTATCGGCAGGTTTCACATCGAACCATGCTGGTGCCACAGCCTCCGCGTATCGGGCATTATCCTTACAAATTCGCACCTAATCCTTACATTTCGTCCGACGACAGCACGTTGATGCCGAGTAATATTCCTTGTCCACCAGCGGCCACTGTACGAACTAATGTTATAAGGGTTCCTGGAACACGCGTCGCCGAGAATTCACTACAGAATAGCGTAGCATTATCAACTGAAATTGAAGATGAAAACGTCGCTGCTTTTAATGTTGGTGGCGAGAAGCGTTTATGTTGGAATAGCTTAATGGAAACAGTGTTGAAGAATTTCTCCGCTCATGAAATCAATAAGAAAAAGTCTGATTTAAGAATTTATACTGGATTTTGTAGTAGTAAACAACTTGAAACGTTACAACTGATCGGAGTGTTGCCTCTAAGTCAAACACATTGTTCTCTAATCAGTAAAAGTGATGCTGCTCGTTTATGTAGCGTTCTTTTGCGTCCTCCTGACAAAAATTGTAATTCCGATCAAACCAGTCGTTCTCGTGGTATTGACGTCAGCCATGATTGTTTCGGTGGTTGTTCGGGCACTTTTATAACTGAAAGATATACTCATGTTAATGCAAAATGTATCCAATGCAGTCAATGCGGTTGTATTTTCTCTCCACAGCAATTTGTCAGTCATAATCACAAAGGCTATGAAAACAGACTATGTCATTGGGGATTCGATAGCTCGGAGTGGCGCACTTATTTACAGTTGGCTGATGAAGATCCTACCGAGGAATTACAAAAGGAATGGGATAGCATCCTATCTATAAAATTCAATAATAGTACCGTCAATTATAAACGTATTGCGTCTGATGCTAGTGAAGGACCCCAGACCAAGAAATCACACGTCGAAGAGACGGCCGAAAATGATACACACAAAGATGTGAGCGACGTCGACGACAATGTTTATTGTAAAGATTTGTCTGAAAAGGAAGTAGATAGTCCTTCCTCGTCTATTGCCCGTCCACAATTTACGGGTAAAGTTGTCACTGAAGTCGTCGATAAATCAGAAGTACCGGCAGTTGATACGATTATGTCTAGGGATTCATCTGAGAAGAATTTACCATTGGTAGCCAGTGCCGGATTAGTAGACAACGATAATGCCAACCTGATCGGATTGGCTAATGTTTGCTCTGAAGTAGTGAAGAACAAGGGAAACGATAACAACGAGGATATAAAGCACGATGACGATTTGTCAGATACTGATTCTACGGTTCTGTCGAAAGCCTTGAGACGAGCCCAAAGAAAAATCGCAAAATTACAAATGTCATTAGAAAAAGCAAACGTTTCGTTAGAGAAAGCGAATATGGAAAAATTTAAGTTACAAGAAGAGGTTACACTCATAAATGATGGAAGAAAAGTAAGTCAATATGACCCTTAGATTACGTTGATTGTGGTTTTTATCTTTATAACATTTTTTATTTAAGTTGTAGTCCCTTTTGAAGTCATTGATCTTTTTTTGTCTTGTTTGCGACTACGTTGCAATTTTGTGCGTAGTTAAGGTTCATTTAATAATATCAATTTTTTCTGATTAAAATTTAGGCCTACCGACACAAGCGACGTTAGTTCGTGGTTTATTAAAAATACGTACGATAGCCAATATCGTACAAAATGAAACTTTAAACAGTAACTAAAATATTGTTAGTTTCTAGTAAAACGTAGCATTCGATATATTTTGTACATAACAAAATTATGATTTATGGTGAAAGAGGACTAATTTTTGATCACTATCCGTTTCTTTTTGTTACAATGGCGACTTAATTTCTAATTTTTTTTGAATGATCGCTAGAGAAATTGGTTTTATAAGACGGGTCAAGAATAGACACTGTAGGGTTTACTGTACCGCTTTAGTGCAGCGATACATTTAACGATAACATTTTACTGTACTTCGTAGTACGTATACGATGGATCGTAGCATCGTAGTAAACTGTATAACGTTGATGCAGTACTTTTATTTGTTGTAATGGACTATGATTCACCTTTATATCCATATAGTATACTAGTAGTGCACGTATTTCATAGAAGTAGACTTAGTAAAATCATTTTGTAGCTGTTGCTGGATACTTCTGTATTTGTATTTTATATGCGACACTGCTTTGATTGATTTTAATGTTTTTCGTAATCAGATTTTTCTTTCTTTGATTAGAAAGATAGTTACGAGTTTTTTTGTACAGTAAATAGATAGATGAAATATATATAGAAGCATAGTGTTGAAATCATCATAAATGACGAATGAGCTTTTTTGAGAAATTAATTTTATAAGCTGGATGCTTCAAAAAGTCAGTACTGTAACAGTATTAAATTACGGTAGATTCGTAACAATTTGACACATTTTGTTAGTCTTGTTCAAGTATTTTACAACCGTGATTAAGATGTACTCCTGTCCAAACTTTCAAATTGATAACTTTTTTTATTCGTTAATACTAGATATTGTAGCAACGTTTGTAAACGGTAGAAAGTTCCTCAATGCAGGAAGTTCTATATCCGTTGTTGAGCTAGTCGTGTAGTTTAATTAACCGGTTTCCCAGTGACCGGTACGCTATTCTGTGGCGTAAAAATATATATATATATATATATATGGTTAAAACAGTGCTGTCTTGCCGAATTTAATGAATTTATTATGCTGACTCTAGTAATAAAGTAAAATGAATAACTCACACATACAGTGTACATACGTATATTTTTATTTCATATTATTACTATGCGTACCTAAACAGTACAGTACTATATTTGATTTATTAATTGCACTATGTAACTATATCTGCCGATTTTTAGATTGTCTATGATTTTTGGTCTTCCTTTTTATTACTTTATGCCAAATAGCGATTGCCGATCATGGTACACATATTTGGGTGTCTGTCTAGACTAGAGCAAGTAAATCTTCATGGATTCAAAGTTGGAAGTTTCACGTTTGTAGTGCCGTAGTAGTTTACTAGTTTTTAGCATTCCTTTGCCATTACGCCCGCATGAGTAATTGTTAATACTGATTTGTTACATTGAGCCAATTAACGGGCAAACAATGGCGGACGATTGGTAGTATTGTTTGAGGATTAGCAAAACAGTGTAATAAATTGAGTACTCACAGTGTCACGAGTTACTAGTTAAGGCTGAATTGAAACAATGGCTACCGATTGAGCTAGAAATGATTTTTAGTCATTTGCACATTCCACTCCGCACGCCATATTATTATAATAGACCATGTAGCTATACATCCCTTTAATTAATTAATCTTGATAATGTAAAACAAGAGCGAACTGTTCTCAGGAATGACATAGAGTACGTATTTTCGTCCCCGGGGGTTCATAAAACTACAATGCTTGATCGGTTCTTCTTCTATGGACTACTAGCGCGTACCTAGTATTTTGGATTGTACTCTAGTACATAGCCTATGGTTCTGTACATTGTACGGCTTCGATACTTAGTCTACAGAATACGATCAAGTACGTTAAGTGACTAAAGCAAAAAAAATGAGAGCCCTCTTTTTTATTCTCTGGCCAAGTGCAGAGCGAAGTTCTAAAACATGTTCATTGTCCATCTAAGAAAATAAGAGCAAGTTATATAGATAAACTTTGAAGTGTGCCGCCCACTACAGTTACTACAGTACGGTACTGTACTTCCTAATACTGTACTGTATGTTTCCGCGCTGGGCGTTAATTTACTTGAATAGGTTTTATCATTAGTGTAACCCCCTGCTCTAATAATTATAGTTACTAATTTGCTAATGCAACATATTACAACGTAGCCCATCGCATATGTACTGTACTATCTCAGGCTATGCTATTAACTTAAAAAATGTTATCAGTATTCTTAATTAATTATGTAATTATATAATTATTTAAGATAAGATAACATACTATACAGTACAGAAGAGTACAGTACAGTAGAGTACTGATAATTATTATAATTAAAATAATTAATTAAAGAACAGGCCGCCGCAGTAGCGCTCGCTTCAATTCAAGGCATGCTCAAGGACTTGCTGCAATACAGCCTAGCACTATTTAATTTGAATAAAATCCTGAGGCGTTCAAGCAGTTGTTACGAGCGTGTCTATGAGTACGACGGCAACTTGGAATCTACGCTATATCATGGTTCTTAAACTGAGAAAAGAAACAGGCAATTTTCTCACATGGTACCATACCAAAAAATCATCAGTCGGACATCTGTTGTACGCGTGATTAGAAATTCTACCTATGCTATAGTTAATTATTTATTTATTCAATGACTGAATTTGTCGATAATTATAACTACTGTATTTTAACTAGGGCAGTTGGACTGATTGCTGATGAAAGATAGTTTCTGAGCAGCCTTTCCAATGTATTAACATGCCAGAACAGTTATTATAATTATTTGAGACAAGGTTGCAATGAGAAATGCACATATCGTGCATAAACTCTACATAAAAAGTTAAAACCCTTTTCTTTAGACTTTGTAGCATATTAAGATATACGGTATTTCAATACATAGATGCGTATGATCATCTCAGCAGAACAGGAAAATTAATCTAAAAAATTTAAATACGACAGACTATATTTTTTATTAATTATATTTGATATAAATTTGCAGTAAAGTTTGTATTCACTTTCGATGTATGTATCATACGATCACGATCGATCAAGACAGAGTTATCGGCGTCCTGAAAATGATAGAGAGATATCGTTAGTTCTTGTACTATACCTTACCTTATTAAACTGAAAATATATAGGTACTAATACGAGTATAGACATGTAATTAGATTTATTTTTCATTATTCGCGCCCATAGCTTCATGCAGGAATTTACTAGCTGTTATAAGTCGTGTCCTCTAAGCGATTAAAAAGCTAAAAGCTATCATTCTACATTCTAAATATGATGAATTACAAAACACGAGCATTACTTCATTCCAGTTCGAGAGTGTAATTTCTTTTACAATTTCAAAAGTATCCCAGTCATGTAAATAAACTACGCCTTTACAGGACAAGGTTACGACTACTTCCAGTTCATCTTCATAATCGATCATTAATAGTGCCTACAATTTCAAACATTGTTTACCACACAGTCATAGAATTTTTGTATATGACAGTGAAATGTTGGACAAGTATAAGTTACCTCATCGTTTTCATTAAAATTTACAGCTCCTAAGTGATAAACCTGCTTTATGGTTCTTCCTGATGACGTTGTATGACTAACCTACCCATGCAATGAGATAGCGTTATGTAGATATATTGTTATGCATGCTTTGAAAATTAATAAAATCTTTCCAAGTAAAACAATCTATAGCATAATATTGATTAAAATTAAATTTCAACGGTACAACTGAGGTTTCAATAACAAAGTAACCTAACCTGAGGTGCTTCGACATTGAGGATTTGCTTCATATTAATCTTTCCACACTCTACTAATTCATTATGGTCATTCATAGGAAAATGATGTACTTTATAAAATCTGATTTGGAAGAAAGATATCATTAAATGTATAACCGTAGTTATGAATTGTGAAACCTATTTGCAATAGAACTATATATATAACCCGATAATCTTTATCTTACGTGGCTCTGTCGGATTCAACGTGTAGTAAATGGTCATTAAATGAAAAATATGCACAGTCATTGTATAATTGAATATTTTTTGTATAGAAGATACCATTTTCAGCCTACATATATAGCAATAAACATAAAATGTAACATTTATCGTATATCCGAGTAGTTGTGCTATGTGATCTAATATATAGGAATGATATGATTGTGATAACTAAAACATTAATTTATTGTTTCTAACCAGTTTGTTATAGCAGAATGATCGAACTTCGTATTGATAAAGTTTCATATTAGGTGTTCGATTAACATAATGCCATGGGATCCCACCAAATGTAACTGTATGATCTTCAGACGTCTTTAGTTGAAATAAAGTTTCTAGAGTTTCTATTACTGTTTAACAAATTAACCAGTGCTTCAATTTTACATTCTGTGCATAAAATAACGTTTCAAGCATATCATATGTATACTTAATGATCTACAACATTTTTCTTATTAAGACATTAAACCTTCGCTGGCTTTAAGTAATTTTACATATTTGAACTAGCCTACCAGTTGTTATTGGAATACCCAAGGGAAATTTTCCAACAATTTCATTATTCAAACGATCGCCTAGCAATACAACCTCAGTGGCATTCTATCGATGGCGAGTACAGAATTTTTAATAAATATGAAAGAAAGGATCAATATTAAATAAAGTAGCATTTAAGTTACACTATACCATTTCTATTATTTTGTTAAAGTCATAATACGTGGTTACCAAAGACCGATGACGAACTATAAGCATACTTTCACAAATGTTGACATTGGTAATATTATGTCCAAACACCTACCATAAAATTGTATAGCATACCAGTAGATCAATATCTCTATATGCCTTAGTAACAAATTGTACGACAATGCAACACCTGTTTATCAATCTTCAACCGAGATACTAATTTTATCGGCCCTATTTCTAATATAATGAGGTGCATAAATATTGAGCTCCCCTATTCAAATGAATAAGTGTAATTATGATTATTATTAATAAACTCCGCTAAATTGTTTAAGCAAAAAAGAATTTGTTGGAAATCTTTAAAGTTAACAATTACACATCGGTTATGTTTCAAAGTATTGTTATTATTTCATTCTTCACTAATATACTTTTAGTAGAATGAGTCTTAATATATAAAATAAAATTAAAAATTACAAACCGTCGCCTGATTTCTTGCACTTTTTATAACTACTCTTTTATTTTCAGTTTCCCAACATAGTTTCCTGAATTAGATTTAAGCATGATTAAACAGGCTGAAGTTAACTCAATTTAAATACATATACTTATGTATAGCGTATTACAAGAACTTGGGAGCAGAGCCTAAGAAATAATTTTCCAATAATTTTCCGGTTGTTATTTCATATCTAAGTAAGTAGTTTCTGTTAGTAAGAGCAATCAGACTTTGTTTGTGGCTGCATAAATCATCTGGATTTATAATCTAAAGAAAAAATAATACATTTTAGCTGAGAGAAGATTAACTAAGAAGTCTAATAGATCGTAAAGCAGTATTACTTTTGGCGTCATTAATCGAATTGTCTACGAACTCACACAACGTGTGCAATTTTAAATTCACTATATTTAGTATAGAATATAAGTATAATCTTATAGCTGTATAACTGTGAAGATATCCGTATAGATATTTTTATCGTAAAATACGTACATTGTACGGGCATTCATAGGATAGAGCATCCACGATTCGACCATAACTCGGATTAAGTACGTACATAAGTTTTGGTTTCCCATCTATGAAATTGTGACTGGTAAAGGTAAATTATCAAAAAATTAATGATGTATGAACGCAAACATGATAATCTTGGAGTAGGTCAATTATCAGAGAAGATTTCGAGAAATTTTTAAGGGTGTATCTGCTAGCCCATACCTACCAGTCATACGCTTTTCGATAACTGTCATTGAATAGGATCCTATCGTAAGCACGTAAAGACGTTAAAAATATTACAAAATACAAGATCCAGACAACGCATACTGGTACTTCGAAGTTAGAGCCTTGCTTTATCTAAGTTATCTTACAGTAGACATCTCATATACGCCCGCCCTTTATTAATGATCTACTCATGATCGCTTTTTTGGCGCTGTAACGTATTCGGAACCCAGTATTAAACTGACGATATGTATATCTAGATCATTCTTATATATATATAGTTTAGATCAAATTAAAATCTGACTTGCAATTTCCTGGAAAATGAGAATAGAGCTTAACAGTTGTATGGTATAATTATAATTGAATGTTAATATGAATTTATAATTGGAATAAGGTTAATTTTATCTAACAGCTATGTCTTTTAAGCGAGTATGATTATACAGTATATACGATAACATACCTCTCGTAAGAGAACGGACTAGAAGCCTTTAATGTAGCGACCTTCTTAAAGTTGTTTCTAGGCTATATTATTATGATGGAAATTTTGGTTAGTTTATAATTATTCATGCAAGATGCAGGTAAATGTATGGAGAGAGGAGGAAAAAATGACTGAACTATATTGTATAACCGAAATTAATTACTACTGTTTGTGATTTGAAAAATGAGCCAATCATATAATTAGTAATTACATGGGCAGCATAACTGAGAAAGAATCTGCAAGGAATTGGGCACAAATAGCTACCCTGAAACAGGGATTAAATCTATATGCTACTTAAATCACTACGCTATAGTGCATGAGTACATAGTAAACTATAGTGTGTTGAAATCTCTCAAGGTGAACACTCTACAGTAGAGATCCTTGGAGACTCTACTCTACAGCATACAGTACAGTATACTGCTGCTGAAGGAATCAATTTTGTAAATAAAATAACTGTTAAGTGCTAGTGAAAGATTTTATAGAATGGATCGCTACACCATGTAGACATCCGGTAGAATCCTGTAAATGTACAATATGAGATGTACTTACACTAGTGATTACAGAGGTTAACATCTTGCAGGCTAATCTACAATTGCTGCCATATAGCTGCCTTCGAATAACATACAAGGAAACATTTAAATGTTTTTTAAGCTTTTCATTCATTTCCAGCTCTCAGAGTGTCATCAGGTGCATCGAATTGGGAACAACTCTTACGCTAGTAATAATATCAATGGAAAGTTTGATACTTTTCGAATTAAAACATTCATACTGTATTTGTAGTCCTACGCATATTGTATATCACCGTCGTGTTAAATACAATACGTGTAATAGAACTGACATTATATCTCTTTAACCTCATTCGTTATCACTATCACTGCTTTTGATGAACTAGATAAGCAAACTTTAATTTTTGCACCATGTCAACATCAAAATCTGCAGTATTCTTACAGTACTGTATACTGTAATTTACAGTACAATAGATGCCCGTGTACTGTACACTGTACTGTAGCCCTAAACTATTTTGCATACAGTACAGTACTGTTCATAAACTGTCAACGGTAAGTACAGTGTACAGTACAAGAGATGCTCCATGTACTGTACACTGTAGTCCTAAACCATTTTGCATACTGTACAGTACAATAGATGCCCCGTGTACTGTACTGTACACGGTAGCCCTAAACCATTTTGCATACTGTACTGTACTGTACTGTACAGTGTACACTGTACAGTACCATTTCATCGTCATGACTAGTCACGACAGTGAACAGTGTGACACTTCAATTCAAGTTCTGACCGTGGACTGTTATGCATCTCTATTCATAAGCATCGTACTGTACAGTACTGTACTGTGCCGCAACCCCCAAGTTTCCTAAGCTTTCTCACCATGCCGTGCGAATAAGAGTCATCAGTCTGATAATTAGAATAAAATACAATCTTTATTGATGTTATGGAGTGCTCAGTACAGTCAGTACACAGTCATAGTCTGTTACAAAGAGTACATAGAGTAGTACAGTACTGTACAGTACAGTACAGTACAGTAGACAGACACCTACAGTACAGTACTGTACTATACACCTTAGTACTGTACCGTACAGTATTCTTACTGTACCATACAATATATCACATGACCGCGTCAACCTTGGGATACATGGGTGCGCTATTGGGTGGTAAAAATGTTGAACCCCCATGCAACACCGGCACATACTGTACTATACTGTACTGCACTGTTGCGCTATATGTTGCAGTGGCAGCGCTGTGCTTATTATTGATGCTTCTAACAAGGATTGACAGGCAGAAAGATTAGTGGCAGCCATGTTCGTTGCTGGAAGAAGACTACAGAGCAGCTTATTGCTCAGCTCTCGTCTGGTAAGTTATTATTGCTGCTAAAGAACGTCCTTTTTTGAGTCAGTAGAACCAGAACTATTATATTAGATGTAATTAAAATGAAAACGAATGCCAATGAAGGAAGATTGAAGTTAAATCACCACTATTCTACACAAAGTGTTCATGGGGACCATCGGTAAATCGTTATCTGTTACCAAGATTGGGCTATTCGTCAAGTTGAACCCACTGATACAAAAGTGAATACTGTACAGTGAAGAAATAGATTAAAAGACAGTTTACACCATTTGTTTATATTCAGATAACTTAAGCTACAATTTAGTTGTCTTTAATTACAAATTTTTCCTAACAGCTTAAAATTGGTGTGTAGTGAAGTGTAATATGGTATCCGTTTACAAGTACCGTACTAAAAGATACAGGAAATGACTGACAATACGGACAGCGTTGCCATCGACAATGGAACGTATGTGACCGCTCTGATATCGAGTACTTTCTGCCCGTCTACTATATACGAATATACTGTATAGTTTTGCCGAGCATTGAAATGGGAACATTGGAAGATAGTAAAGCCATTAATGTAGCCCTATCGATATGCGTGTATGCTATTAAAAGTGTACTGTAAACGAATACCAATGAGTAAGAATTTATTAATAAATAGTCACTACCCACTTTTATAAGTAAGACAGTAAATTATACATGAATGATACAGTATATTATTGCTGTAAAAGGGAGCAATCTGACACAAATCTACACATACAGGGCTACCTGAGCCAGTCCAATAGACGCCTGAAGTTATCCCGCATGTTGCTCTACTTTAGACAAAATAGAAGGTGATAAGTGATAGCTTTTCCAGTAAGGCACTCGTACAGGGTCTTGATCTGAATAAATATGTTTCAACAAGTAATTGATATCTACAGAAAGGATGATCATTGACCAATTAAGGAATCTAAAGATGACGATCTATCACACTGTAACATGACTAAGCTAAGTCCTTGTGGGAATCATAATAAGTGTTGTTTCTGCGCTATCATGTTGTCGGTGCTGCGTCGGTCAATACGATGCAATCAGTGCAATGAATTTTCAAATTAATTTCGGTGGTAATATGCCAGCTACCTTAACGAGTATCAGTCAATGGATCGAATAGTTTTGGCCTTATCTTGTTCTATTATCGGCGTGATATATTACTGATAGCTCTTAATCTCTCGAATCTATCTGCTTTTCTTAGTAAGTACGCGTATTTATTGACAGGTTTATCTGAGGTAATTTTGTAGGGGCACATTAACGGAGACTCCAGTATACGTATATAAATATGTTATTTAAAGATTATATGAATTTCTTCTATATTGCACATTTTCACTAGTATCTCTAGTCATAAAATAATATATATTAAAATCCTTAAGTTCTACGATCAATATCGATCGGTTGAAACTAAATTATAAATTGTAGCTGAATTGTATCTACCATTAATAACCTTCGTGATGAACTTACTGATTACATTATATTCTGTATCAAAGGGAATAAGATGCGCTCAAGCAGCAGCAGCCGCCGAAAGTTCACGAAAACCTGAACGAATGAAAAAATTTTCTATCTATAGATGGGTAAAATCATTATTATGTTAATAGTGTCAACGATGCTGAATTATGCTAGCGTCGCTAAGTGTTTAAAAATCCTGTAGTATAGTAAATTCTATTTTACATGTACTAGAGTCCAGATGATAATACCAGACCAAAAATGCAAGAATATAATGTGGATCTAAGCACGTATGTTCTTGTTCTAATACAGAATACACAGTGCGAAAGTTTATCTCGATTGAACCTATCCTAAAATCTACTATTTTAAAAATAGGTGCGGACCAATGGTATTGGATGGATTAATCAAGATTAAAAATGAAATTGATCCAACCCTGACTTTTAGACGATCATGTCGTGAAGGTAGGCTCGTATTAGCTTGATTGTTTAATAATAGCTCTATTTATACCGAAATATCTAGTCGGTATCTGAATTATGCAGTTTTTATTATTTTGGTATTTAGGTATATGTGGATCTTGTTCCATGAATATTGGCGGTATTAATACGTTAGCTTGCTTAAGGTAACATCTCAATTTGCAGTTTGGCTTTAAAAATTATTCTTTTTCATTTACTGAAATAGCTGGTAGTTAACTGATGCTAGTCTACTGTATGATACTATGAGAGTCTTATTCTTTTGCAGCAAAATTGATCCTGATTTATCTAAACCCGTAAAAATCTATCCACTACCTCATATGTATGTGGTAAAAGATTTAGTTGTGGTAAGTATAGTGTAAATTGATTTTATACTTTATTTGCTTTTCTGAAATGGTTATTAGAAATTTAAAGTTATTTTTTGTATTTACGTTTTAAGGATATGAATAACTTTTATGATCAATATCGAGGAATAGAGCCCTATTTAAAGAGAAAGAAAGATACGACAATTGGACAAGAACAGCTGCACCAATCTGTTGAGGATAGAAAAAAACTGGTTAGGAAATAACTCAGCCATATCGTATAAATCTGGTTCTACTCGTATCTATGCCTTGAATGCTGTACTAATGATTTCAAAGTTTGGTGATAGTAATAAGTATATGTAAATTTTTTTAAATAATGTAGGATGGTTTATATGAATGTATCTTATGCGCTTGCTGCAGCACATCTTGCCCCAGTTACTGGTGGCATCCAGATAAGTATCTAGGACCTGCTGTGCTGATGCAAGCGTATCGCTGGATGATTGATAGCAGGGTATGATTGAGAACGCTTTCATCATAAGATTTTATTGGCTATTAATTGCAATAGTTCACAGGCACGTAATTTCATATTTAAAGGATGAATTCACTCAAGAACGCCTAGAGAAACTGGACAACGCTTTCTCCGTTTACAAATGCCATACTATAATGAATTGCACAAAAACCTGCCCAAAGGTATTCATAATTGGTGATCCTATTCATGCTTGTACCTATTTTGCAATTTTCAGCATGATTATAAACTCTCGGTTACTGATACGTATAGGGTTTAAATCCAGGATTAGCCATTGGAGAAATAAAGAAGAAGCTTGCGACCTATAGATCATAATATCGCTAATGTTATTTGTCGTTATAAGTTCTAGGTTGCATTTGTTTGCTATTGTGGCCTGACTGGATATTATCCTGGGATAATCGATACAGTGTACTCATATTAACATTTACTCTTATGTTGTCATCCGGGGCCTGATTTGCTTTCTAGCTTTTTCAATTTTATTTACCGATGACAATCAAATTATGCAGTCAATATGCGTTTTGTATAGGCGTTAGTTAATGACTATTTTAGTAAAATGTAACTTATTATACTCTTATATGTATGTTTTGCTCCAAGGCATTTATATTCATAAACAAATTTTGAACGCTAATCTGTATCAATGTTGTAATTTCTGCATAACTGCTATATTTGCATCTGTACTTTTTATTAGCTACAAAATATAGATCTGAGAGCTTGTCTTGTCGTCTACTGAACTATACTGTATTCAATGCACCCTTCACGGTGGAATGTTGACTGTGTGGGTTAATTTATCCTGGTAAATATACATTTGGCTCATTTTACTTCGGGTTAAGATAGGGTTATTTAATTAAAATGGCTACATTTTGAGCCAATATTAGTATTACATAACCAGCTTCAACATAAGAAATTATCAATTCTACAGTGTTTTAAGATGTAACGCGATTAGTGCATGTCCGATATTAACATACGACCCGAACCGGACGAGATTCTAGTGAATAATATTTGTTGACTGTTGTGAAATGGAAACATTTGATTAGCATGAATGCATGATCTTCTTCATATAGTCAAAACTGCATAGTGATATGTATATAAACGATGCATACTATGCTGATTCCTACAATTTACGATTATGTAACCTTGCGAATAACAAAATATATATATTTCATGTCCTGTTGAGTGTATCATACATAGCAGATCTACAAATGATGTGAAGATTGGTCTGAGACATAGTATTGTCGACATATAGTATTCGTATGTATATATGTAATAATTAGTTAGAATACTTTGAATAATTGGCTCTATCTTAAAACGTTGATTCGGAGGAAGACGCAAACTCCAAAGGATATTTTAAGAAACTTCAAAGCTAATTGGAAATGATAATTTAAGCTAACTTTTGCTAATCAGTATTGTAAATTCATAATCTGTTAATATCCGAAATATGAACAAACCATCAAAAATTTACTAATGGATTAACTCAATTATATACCGATTAGCAAGTGCTAAATTAATCTTTTATTTCTAGACCAAACAATGCTCATATAGCTTACAGTATTTAGATCTCTTTGGGTTTTAATCATATTGAAAGCATTGCAGTCTTTAGAATTCGTATTAAAATTTACAATTATTATCGACGATAGCTTCATTGATGATTTAAAATCAATGAATGATGATTGTAATATATTATAAATATCGAAATGCACTAAATATATGAGACTATATAATATATACGAGCTTACGCTGAAGTATGCGTATTCGTAGGTGTATGAAAGATACGTAAATTAACTTGATTCGAAGCTATTACACATTGAGTTTCTACACGTATAGTGTAAATAAAAAATTAATCAATACTCTGCAAGGTGGATTGAAACGAATAACTTGTTTATTTATTGTACATACATTTATTTATTTATTTATTTATAATTATATTTTTTGACTTTGTGACCTACTGTATTACCATAGAATGGCGTGATCAGTAATAGTACTAAACTGATATGGAAATAAGCACAATTGGTATATAAGATTATAATGCAGGGTGTCGACAGACTTCAACTGTGGCCACAGGTAGAAGTAATGAATATGCAATCTTAGCGAATAGCTTGATTCTGAGAAATCAGCTTTTTATTTATTCTAGTGTACTGGTATAGATATTATATTATTTAATTTTATTACCGGAAGAGTATATCAATACCTTTATATAGTTTATTCTTATTTTAAGATTTAAAGTCTATTATAAAGTCTATTATGTTATTTGACCTGTGATTGCACTTTTTGAGCAGCGCTTAGTAGATTTCTTTATTCTAGAGTTTGATCCAATTTTCCGAGATGTTTGAGATAGAGGTAAGCAATGTTTAATTTATCTCTGTTAAGGTTTTATTCTCCATAATAAAGATTACTGATAGCGCTAGCTGTGTTAATTAGTCAGCCTATATACTTACCAATTAGTGGAAAAATCATTTAATGAATCTTAATCCTAATATGCATTATCATATCTTGGTATTTTACGACGGTATGATGTTAGTCAATCAAACTGTATTGATTATAAATAGGTTTCAGCCACAAATATCTTAAAAGCTGCCCGTTGTGGCCGTCGTGATGTTCTTGCAGACCTTGTTAATAAACGATTAGATATAGACTTTCCAGATAAGGTATGGATTAGGACTAACAATATATCTTTGCGGTTAGATTTGGCTGTGCTATTTAATTTACATAAATAGAATGATAAAATTATGTATTTCATTCATGATCACAATTTTAATTCATTATGTTACCTTCTAGGTGATTGAGTAGTCGGTTACTCATTTACGATATCTCTCTTTGATATTCACTAGATTAAGCATAAATTTTAATAGCAAGTAGTTTTCATTCAAATTTAGCAATTGATAGTAGCAATTGATGATAGCTGTAGAATAATTCGTTTACTTTCATTTGTAATAGAAATAGATATACTTTATTTGATGCTAGCTTATGAAATCTGGCTTTATTCATTCCGCAGAGTGATTATAGTAAAAGTGCGCTACATAAAGCAGCAGAAGGTGGAGATATCGATGCTGTAAAGCTACTTATTAGTTATGGTGCCGATTTAAACTATCGAGATACATTGGTAAGAGAATGCTATAACCGTGGATGCTGTAAGCACGTGCTTGTAAATGAACTTATAGAGTTAACAAATGACTTCATGGCAGATAAAATAGGTTATCTTTACATATTTTATGTAGCTATACTTTTCAATTATTAGGACTAGTATGGGGCGTTGTCCGCTTGAATTTTTTATATAGCTTCTATCAAACTATTATGCATACTTGTATGATCAAAGCCGACATAATTTTTCGTTCATTACACAGCACTTGTAACTAAGTAATGATTAGTGAAATAGTTGCCTTAATCCAGTAATAAATTTCAGCCTTTGCGGATCTGTTCAGTATCTTAGAGATTCTTGCATAAGTTGTAATATTTAATTAGACAGGAATAACAGTTCTACTCTAAAACTTGATTCTCATCATTTAAAAATACGTAACTACAATTTCAAGTAAGAGAAGAGCAAATTAATTTTTGATATAATACTTGCAAATTTCTAAATTTAAGTTGTTATATACATTACATATTCACATAATACCTAGCGTATTTAGAATCCTGTTTCCAATTTCAGTTTCGTGCAACACCTTTACTTTTGGCTGCTTCATCAGGAAAACTTGATGTTTTAGAACTTTTAGTCAAGCGAGGTGGCGACGTCGATATCAAAGATGCAGTACGTATTACTTCCAATTTATAAAAAATATTGTGTAGATATTTTTTTTACTTTAAGTTCATGTCTGGATATAAGCGACTATTTGGTAAACGATTTGCTATAAGGAATTTGTATGACCAATTAAATTATTAATGTATCTAGGATGACAGTAACTTATTATTATAGTTTGCATAAACTAATTTAACTACAAAATTCTGCGCGAAAAGTGTATTTATAATACAGTCTGCTAGCCAACGTAGAAGTTTAAATTGTTATATTTGCAATTTAAACTTGCTTTGACTATTATATTACTGTTATTGATTCTATGTAGTGGCGTCGTTCTCCTTGGCACTGGGCTGCTGTAAACGGCCATACACACATTATTAATTGGCTATTCAAGTACTATAGTAATTTAAAAGTGAGCTTGATGAGATATCTACGACCAGCAGTAAACTCGCTATATATCGATAAAGTAGATATCAACTTTAATTTTATGATTACTAGAAACGCCAAAATATAAATGAGCAGAAGGTGATTGAATACATTGCAGATGAGATAAACTCGAGGGATTGGGTAAGAATTAATATGATATAACATGATTGTTTATTTTGGTAGTTAGTCTTTTCTGAGGTATTACAGCTAGTTAGAATATTCTGTCTTTACTGTAGAAAAAACGAACTTCACTACACCTTGCGGTACAAGGCGCCCACGAGGATGCTTCGAAAGTTTTACTCCAATATGGTGCAGAAGTCAATTGCTATGATTTGGTAAAATCGATAAGACTTCTATATAATATTTTGCATAACTTAGTGATTTATATTGCAATGCAATTTAGTATTGTTGAAATCTAACATTTTAATGATTTAGGAACGTAACACTCCTTTGCATATTGCTGCTCGGAAAGGATATAATGAAATAGTTAAGCAATTACTTCAATACAAGGCTGACGAAACGCTAACCGATAGGGTAATTCATGCCACACTTTATAATTTTAATTATGACTTCAATATTGACTAACAAGACTTTATTAGGCTGGAAAAACTGTTATGGAAATTGCTGAAGAGAGAAATGATATAGATATAATTAGAATATTGAATTTGGCCAGGACAACTGGATTGGCAGTCCCACAGTAAAGTTTGGTAAGTAATAATCATCTTGATAGTTCTTATCAAAGTTTATTTATTGTGGTTATGATACTAATTGGCATGACTAATCTTGGGTTTAACTTAGCAAATATAAATTTGCTTTAAATCGATAAATTAGCAACTTCTTATGATAATGTAAATTCTTACATTTATTTATACTAGATAGAGAATCAAACTACAGTTTATAAATGGTATTTAAACCGCTTAAAGTGATGAAAATATTGGGAAGATTGCTATGGATATTTCGATATTCTCAATTGAAAAGAAACTATTTTAAGTTATAGCTATCGCCAATTTTACGATCGCTATCTACATAATTTTGCAACGTAGAATTTTATGCTGTTATTGGGATAAGATACAAATGTCTGCACTTGGTTGCTTATAGCAAGCATTCGTTATTATACCAAATATGATTATCTTCCATCTTTATTTTCGTAACATATAAAGTTAAATTAAAATTGTTGATATACTGCAAGGTATGCATCGGTATCTTTATTGGTAGAGATTGAGCTGATTGAGCTTAAGCAAAAATTAAGATTATAAAGGTGCTAGCGGCTAAAAATAAAATCTGTCAGATTCTATTCAAAATAGACTGAAATACACGGATGTGGAAATTACATTGTATTTTTAATTATAATTAGTATTTGTTGGTGAATATTTTGTGGTTTCTAATTAGTTTGCGTTTAAGATTGTCATAAGGCAAATCCAAATTTCACTGTATATTTACATTGATAATTTAATTGCGATTAAAGCAAAACTATTTACAAAAATATAAGTGAACGTAGTCAATTTTTGCTTGCCAAGCAAGTACTAACACTTATTATTAACATGTTCCATTTTTTCGATTATTGCTAATAATTGCAATTAGTTTATGATTTTTAGCTCTATAATAAAAGCTGTATTGATATACAATTTATGATCAAGCTTAGAATCTTACTTAAACATAACCATCAAGAAAGAATTGCTCTCGTAAAGTAATCGGAATCTACGCAGTACAGTATACCAGGATGCAGTATTCTGGGCTTTCCTTGCTCCAAAGATTACTTACGACATGTTACTGTTAATCCCGAAGCCAAGTAAGCGTACATATACTCTTGTTTATTTCTTTACGTACTTACGCAGAGCGTTGAAAAATAATAATTTTAAAGACTTAACATAAAGGAAACAGTAAGTGTAAAACTAATTTAAAAGTTCATTATCGGGTCGGTTGTAGTTTATAGACTAACTTCGAAAACCCTCTTACACTTTAATTAAACGTACAATTATTTTCCGAAACTACATCAATGAATACAAGGTTATTGGCTCAATACATCTTAATGATATCTACGTCTAATCGGTGCCAATAGATTTTATATATCAACATCACATTAATTCTTGATCTATAACATACCGAAATTGGCCTCAACCATAACAATTCGTAATTAAAGAATAATTTTATTTAATTAATTGATATCATTTTAACTATTTCGTATTGACGGTTTAACCTTAAAAACACATAAGCAATAATATTTTGATAGATAGTAAGTGAATTTGATAAGTGCTTGATAGAAATTTAAATGTCAACTTGATTTAACATAAATAGTCACAACAGTAATTTGAAGACTTCGTTCTGGTAGGAATTGAAAGAGCTGATAATTAATAACGTCAGCATGCAATAGAAGGGAAATCTGTAGTATATTGTCAGTCTCAGAGATGATTCTTACATAATATAGAATTATTTTTTTCAATATTCTATGTACAGTGATACCTCCTTTATCAGTACGTATTCACATCGTCGAAATAAAAAATACGTAAAGGTCAAAATAGTATTAAATATGAGCTATGCTCTGGTGGTTAGTACTGGAGCATCCCGAACACGTCTGTAATGATTCATGCATTAGCATGTCGCATGAATTGCAAAAGTAATTTTGACATCTATTACAGCGAAAGGCCTAAGATAAAAGAAATCTATGTTAATGTGAGTGCGAACGTAAAATAGTAGACATGATTTAGTTATACCAAATCGGCGAGACTTTGCGTGCAGGCATGACAGTATCTAAAAGAAAGTTGATATCTTTGAGTTAAGTATGCTCACTTATTGAATTTATATATATACGGTATATTTATATGTACGTTTACGAAATAAAGCATTACAAGGGTTTCTCTGCATCCTTCTTATCAAGAGCTACTTCCTCAAAATCTTCCAATGGGAATAAATGTTGGTAGGATCTTGCTAAGTGTGGCGCTGAAACTAAGCTTAGTCCTAATAAATTGCAGATAATCGTTACTATGTTATTTAGATTTATCGTGCAACTTACGCATATTCCTAGTTTTAGTTGTTATGTTCATTTTACCACATATCTGACATTCTATCGGTAATTCACAATATTTTGCTTTACACTATAATAAATTTGATTGATTGATTAGTTTTGCCAATGCATAAAAAGATACTAAATTATCGAAATACAATCATTCATTAATATATTTTACTTGAACTTACCTGCGGACAAAAATAGCCGGTAGTGCTGAAACTTTTAACAACTCTACTATCTAAATGGCTATAGCAAATTAAAAAATTGATAAAAAATTCTATTGGTGCAACCAGTGTTCGTACCTACTCGGAAAGATAGGTGCTCAAATCCATGAGCAATATGAAATTGGTCATAAACTTACCATTGGCACATTGACGGGTGACTGTTAGTTCTGTATTCTGGAAATCCTGTACGGAACAACGATGATAAAGGGTAAACTTAAAAACAATAATGCCTTTTCGTTCAAGGGTAACATTTTATTTTTATATTCAAAAGCATACACGAATGAAAGGATACATTACCCATTCGAATTAACGAAGAACCTAACTTTCCCTGTAAAAGATAATGTTTCATATTCAATCTAGACGCTCAAATACAATACTGTAACAAATACAACATATTTATTTACCGTTGCAACTGGAGGTATAACATAATGAGTAAGAAGCTCTTTATAATGATGCTCGTCAAGTATAACTCGATAAGAGCCTACAACATAAAGTACCACAATAGTAATTGAAAATATTAATTTGTAGATATCATTGTATTATTTGCTCTCTAGCAATTGACTGTTTTTGGCTTAAAATATCCAGTTATTGACGAAGTGAATTGCATATTAAAAGCATATTAAAAATGGACGCGAAACCTAAAGTACCAAGGTACTAAAATTTCATAGCTTTTATTTATAGGATCGGTCAGTTGGATACTTACCCCCTGTTTCAGAAGCCAATTTTTTCAATATATACATTTCTGCTGACAGTCCAATAGCTGAACATCTAATGTTATCTTCGACTAAGTTCTGTATTAAGTATAAATAAGGGGTATTTTCGAAATTTTGGACAAAGCTGAAAGTAAATATATACAAGTAGCTAACCTTAACTGTAGCATGGATATCACTAGGGTCGCAAGAGGTTAAGCTTGCATAAATAACTAAAATTTCACGACTCGCATGACTAGGTACATGCCTGTAGAAATGCAAATAAATTATTAACTCCAGGTATTAATTGTTATGAGCAGAGGTTAGAGGAAAAAGTTAATATATGCTAATTGGTAAGATGGATACATTGGTATAGATCAATAGAGTACAATAAGATTGATGAATTAATATTATTTTGAGTAAATAGTGCTATTATCACGAGTAAACTGAAAAAACCTAGTAATTGATATACATACCTTAACGTTTGAGAAGCTAACTCAAGAGCATTCTGCAGCGAAGGCTCTCCAATGCATGGTTTACATGCAGCTTGTCGTAAAGCCGCAATATGGCGTCTAGGATTTCCTAAGTTAGAAATGGAAAATATTAGCATAAAAGTTATTTATGATTATAAGTTACACCATATCAGATTTTGTATTTAATACGTATATTTATGAAACAACGGACTTGCATGTATACTTCAGCACGACTACAGTACGCTGCATGGTAAATTGTAATTTATTGCTAATTTTAGTGGATAAAAATTTTAATTTACCTCCTATATCTGTCAATTTCTCAGCTCTTTTATTTCTTGTAATTATGACTCCTAGCTAAAAGTGATGATTTATATCATGAAAGTTACCAAGCGTACTAACATGGTCTATTTCTAGGTACCTAGCGTATCCTAATGGCAAACATTATTTTATTATCTGAAATAACCTGAGAAATCGGATTTTGATCGAAATATTCCGTTATGAAATCATCTAGAAGCTATGAATTAGGATGTAGGTAATTTTGAGTTAATATTATAACTTTAGTATTACGCGCACGTGTCTGAGCTGATATCTACATGATGAAACAGCAGTGGAAGTGGATGATTTGATTCACAAGCTATATAGTAGTAATCTTTACCTTCACTGTAGCTACTAGTCGATTAGGCTTTAAATCTATAATGGATATAGCTGATGACATATCAACAATGATATACATATGACGCATCTAGAAAGTAATAAGAATGTTCAGAATGTGCGACATCTAAAATGAAATGATCGACTATATTTACAGCCCAAATTTGTTCATCGCCTATATATTATGTTAGTTCTTACCAAGCCGAGTCGTACATTAGCCTTTCTATCAGCCACTCTGTTAATGAAGATGTTAATATTATTATCATTGCAATACTATTTCATTTAATCGGTTCAAAACTAAACCAAGTTGTATAGACACCCTGCTTACCTTCGCTTACGAGCTCGTTGGAGTTCATCGACAGTGCTCTTAAGAGATCCTTGTTCATCTTCAACAAGAACTTCCCTAAAATCGTTATAACCCAGCAAAAGAATAATCAGTCATAACAGTTACCATATATAGTCTAAGCCATTAATTTCAATGCTATCGTATTCGACACATTTGCTATTGGAAATCATGATGGACTCGATTACAGAAAGAGACCAGTACATCACTGCGAGAGCATTATGCCCTTCAGGTAGTAATAATACTGTCAACAAACAGATGGACATGATTGGCAAATATAGAATAGAGCAATAATAGACTACAGTTTAGTATAGAATAACGAATTTGATAAACCGATTGTTGTTTCCTTTTTCTGGATCTACGAATGCACGCTACCTATATTAATATTTGTGCATACTGCAGTACGTCGGGGGAAATCGCAGCAGTAGTTGCACCAATGCTAAGATTTGACTCTCCATTGATGACAAGTAATACTGCACGTTTATAGAAATAGTCAAGGTAAAATGTATCATCGATGCTATCCTTTGAACAGTTACGTATGCCTATAATTTATTTATTACAAGTATTGCTATTGCCTACCAGGTACGCTCGAATGAACTTTCCCATCGATAGCCAGATTCTACATCGTCGGCATCATCAGCCATTTTGCAAGGTCTTGCTTACTACTGTACAGTACTGTACCGTAGAGTTCAGAAAAAAAACACTATGGTACAGTACAGACTAGAAGGAAAGCGATTTTCTTGGAGTGGTCCGTCCGACTGTACTCTCCTTTTTGAACTCTATGCAGTTTGAAAGGGATTTGTCTCGGGGATATCGAGTGTGTTGTCTCCTATGCTAGAGCTAAATGATAGTGAACGATTAGGAGACAAGCTGGCGCATTTTTTTGCTCTAAACGCATCAAGGACTACAGTACTAGAAGAAGACTACTTGTCGTCCTCGTATACAGTAGTAGACCAGTCCAGTTTTGCAGGTAAACGCACTGGACGTCGTACACCGAAAAACACGCGCTGAAAAACTCCAAACGGACATGATATTAATTTCCCGGAATGGGCCAATTGACCGCATTCAATTGATTTTACGCTGTACAGGATTGTATGCTGTAAAATAGTCAATCCACCCTCGTAATATCAAAACTTGACTGCATTCCATTCATTTTACGGTGTATAGGATTGAACGCTATAAAGTATTCAATTCATCCTCGTCATATTAAATCGAGATATCATCTACTGGACATTGTACAGCGGTCCACGTCAAATTGTCCCAGACCCTATTTTATTTATTCTTTTACAGTACTGTATACTATTGTACTAGGGAGTTCGAAGACTATGACTAGTAGTCCTTCAAGTCCCTGACTGTACTGGCCACTTTTCCATTTCGAAGGTGGCAGTCCTGGGCTTTGATTATGGAAATTTGGAAGACTATGACTATTACTATTAGTCTTCAAAGTCCCTGGGTTTTGATCATGGACATTTGGAAGACTATGACTATTATTATTAGTCTTCAAAGTCCCTGATTGCACTGGTAACTTTTCCATTTCGAGGGTGGCCGTCTGGGCTTTAACCACCATGCAAATCGCCAAGTAGCAATGCGGTACAGTACAGTACTGTATTTAGTCTGCACAAAAGTGATGTCACTCTTAGCTCGAATAGACTACATTACTAGCTGCACTAAAAGGTGACATCATTTTGTACAGTACCAACCGTACCGTACACGTACTGTAAAGTGCACGGTCCATTGAACCACGACGCAACCCTCAAGGATGACAACGACACCAGTCGAAATGTATAGTAGAGATTCTGATACATGCCTTCATGACCTATACTAAACGCTTCAAATTAAAAATGGTCGTATTTAAGGGTGCACCGGTGGGCCAGTGGCACCCGCATTTTGGATGGATTACGCCCAGGGTAGGTCGGGGATTACGCCAGGGTATTAGGTAAGGCGTCGGTGATTAGGCCAGGGTATAGGCAAAGACTAGTTGATTAAGACTGGAGACTACTGTCATTGTACCGTTGGTTAACCGTAGGGTGGTGGCGGCCATTAAGGTTTCTCGAAGTCTAGCAAGGAAAGCGCTTTAAGGTATGTTGTAGTCGACTAACATTGTAATTTAAAGCGTTGATCTTATTAGTATGTTACTTATGCTTTCAAGAGTAGATTTTCTGCCCTGATAGGCTACCGTAACATGCATTTTTTTCAACATAATCTTCGATCGACTTGTTGCCGTCATTGAGTTGAGTTAACCGCATGTCTATCACCGTCAGCTAGTCGTAGCGCTACTGGGTGGTGGCAAAGCAGCGTAGTGGCCGAGACTAAAAGCCAATTTATTTGCCAATTTATTCTTGACTACAATAATATTGCGCTCAGTCTTGCTTAGACAATGTAATGTAGAAAGAAATCAACAAATTGGCTGTGATTGAGACTGCAAGGGCATTTCTACGGTGTCTTTTCACCATTTTTCACTGTAGAAAGCAATTCGACTCATTGCAACCGCGATAGTAACTTAGTAACTAGACTGCTGTAAAAAGGAGGAGTACAGGAGTAGTAATGGCGCTTGTATTTTCTCGACATACTGCAGCGCTACATCATTTTTGTACAGTTATACTATAAAGAAAAACGAAATAGGGCACACGAGTAGGCAATCATTCGATATAGAGTTATAATGGATTGGATGATTTTTAACCCGTGTTACATCATGAAGTTGAAGGATCACTATGGAAAATGATGCAAAGAAAGTTCTAGCATCATGTCCAAATTGTCAAAAAAGTGATCAGGACGATAGATCGCAGCTCGTGATGATAGACTTTTGCCCCCTAAATAAATACATATATATATATATATACCGTACTAAACTATTTCCATCTAGCCTACTGCATGTTAGCATCCTACTCCTTCATGGGGTGCTTTCAATTCTTCTGTTGAAAGGGTGACATGATAAAGCCCTGATGAATTATAAATGATCGTAGTAAAGCATGCTACAAGCTACGTCCTAAATTTCACGGAATCGTCAATACTAGCTTGAATTGACGTACTTCATGTAGTTATTCGCACCCTTGCAAGTGGAGTAAAATGCCTACTGATACTAACAAGAATTTAATTGACTACTTTCAGAATGATCGGCGGTATTTTCATTTATAATCACAAGGGTGAAGTTTTAATATCCAAAATCTATCGCGATGATATTGGGTAAGTTTCAGAGCAATGATAAAAATAGCTGCTCCATCTGTGATTGGCAATTTAATTTAATATCATTTTAAAATCGTGATTTTTGGTCTTGCGAATTTGTACTATAAAAGCGAATTATTATCATATAGAATGATAGAAATTCACCCTGTTGTTACTATACACGGATTTTACAGTTATGATGGCATTGATTCGTCATTTCTGTGCCCGATACCTTGGATCAGTAATAGTGATAATATATTTTTCCTTCCTTTTCAGGCGATCCGTCATTGATGCATTCCGCGTCAATGTCATTCATGCTCGTCAACAAGTACGTAAACCAGTCACCAACATCGCTAGAACCAGTTTCTTCCATACTAAACGTGGAAATGTTTGGGTAGCTGCAGTATCCAGGCAAAATTGCAATGCTGCTATGGTTTTTGAAATGATTAACCATTTGTGCAACAGTTTTGTCTCTTACTTCGGTAAAATTAATGAAGATTCAATCAAGAATAACTTTGTATTAATATACGAATTGTTGGATGGTAAGCCTGAATCATACACTTCGTTAAATTATTTTTGGAAATAGTTTTAAGATTATTACCTATTAATAGCTGTAGCAATAATATCTTTAGCTTTAAATTTGTAATTTCCACCTTGGTAATGCTATTTTTTAGAAATGGTCGATTTTGGCTATCCTCAAAAGACTGATGTTGGAATCTTGAAAACTTTCATCACACAACAAGGAATTAAATCAACTGTAAGATATAATACTGTAACTTTCGCTTCTAAAATCATACCTATACATTGTCAGACATGAAAATCTAGTGGTACTTAAAATTAAGAAATGTCAATTTCTTGCAACTAATCTAAAATTAACGTTATCGAATTCTTTGCCCAAGATAACTACGGAAAATATATTACAATTCACTTTAGTTAATAGTACGTTTGGGTAAACTTATTTATACAACATTAAATGTAATTGTTACCTCATTGCTGGATGTTTTATAGACGAGAGAAGAACAAAATCAACTTACTAGCCAGGTCACTGGTCAAATTGGTTGGCGTCGTGAAGGCATCAAGTATAGAAGAAACGAATTGTTGCTTGACGTTTTGGAAAATGTCAATTTATTAATGTCCGCACAAGGTTATGATTGTGTCCAATTGACTTATAGACTATTGTATCGTAATTATTGGATAGTTACCATATTGAATATAACAACACACAAATAATGCTGAAGAGTTAAACATATTGTATTTGAAAGATTTTGTTATCGTAATGTTGTGTAGGTCAAGTACTAAGTGTTCATGTATCCGGACGAGTCATCATGAAAAGTTATTTATCAGGAATGCCAGAGTGTAAATTTGGCATGAATGATAAAGTCTCTGTGGAAGGCCCAGCAGGTGATGCCAATGCTGAGCGAAGAAAGATAACGAAGCCTACAATTGCTATAGATGATTGCAATTTTCATCAGGTTTGAATCAATTTATTGCTCTGATACTTTGTGTCCGACGACTTCCATTATGAGTAAAGCAGTATTATCTGATGTAATGAATACCAATGAATTTTTTTAATTTTATATAATCGTCATTTGATAGTGTGTTAGACTTAGTAAGTACGAGACGGAACGGAGCATTAGTTTTATACCGCCCGATGGAGAGTTCGAGTTGATGAAGTGAGTATAAAGTTATAAAAAATTCTTTTCTAGCGGTTGATTGTCCATCCCATAAATCATTTTTTTTTTGAATCTAAACAAATATTATTTTGGTGTAGATATCGTACCACAAAAGATATTAGCTTGCCTTTCCGTATTATTCCCTTGGTTAGAGAAGTGGGTAGAACAAAGCTGGAAGTGAAAGTAGTATTGAAATCGAATTATAAGCCTCAACTTTTTGGCCAAAAAATTGAGGTTTGCAATTACATGATCAGGAAAGGGTGTAATTTATATGACATAGCGACACCTCGTAACAGATAGTTATACGCACATTTTATAGGTAAGAATCCCTACACCAAAGTCTTGTTCTGGTGTGCAGCTTTTATATCAGAAAGGAAAAGCAAAGTATAAATCGAGTGAGAACGCTATCTTATGGAAGTAAGTCTTTCAATTAGTAATATTTTATGATTCAAAGTTCAAATTCTCATGAATACAAATTTCATTCGCTATGCAAAAAAAGGATAAAGCGAATGGCTGGCATGAAAGAAAGTCAAATTAGTGCAGAAATTGAACTACTACCTTCGTCAGATAAGAAAAAGTGGAATAGACCTCCTATCTCCATGAATTTTGAGGTGATATCTTGTACTAGTAATTATTAAATAGTCATTATCTTATTATTTATAATTTAAATGGTGTTTTCGACTCTCCTATTCTATTATTGTTACACGGTATAATTTCTTTTGTAGGTTCCATTTGCTTGTTCTGGATTGAAAGTGCGCTATTTGAAAGTATTCGAACCTAAGATAGGTTATAGTGATCAAGATACTATCAAATGGGTGCGCTATATTAGTAAGAGTGGCTCTTACGAAACTAGAACATAAAGTCTACCGTAATCGATAATATAGCGAATAAATTTATGTTGTGCAAATTCTATTATTGGATTGCATGGCTTAGCACGAATGTATTAGTTATTCTATCGTTAAGTATTCTAAGTCACTTTCTTTGTTGATATTTCTTGGATTTATGTTTGCATTTAGTCAATTTCGATATGTTTAGATAAATCAAAAATACCATTTAGTTATGGAGATGTACAGATATTAATTTACCAGCCCTTGTTATTGTGACGTATCTGAATAATTGGAAAGACATCACATTTGGTTATTAGTACCTTATACTGTAGTGTAATGATAAGTAAGCTATTTCATAGAAAGCTAAAATGATATATGACGATTTAACCGAATGATGATATTTCTTTTTGCCGTAGTTTTACGTAACTAGCTGTTCACTAAATTGATTCAAATATTCTTGATATATAATTATATTTAACTGGCTGATTTACTAATTAGAACTATCTAAATAGTGAATATTCGATTTAGTTCAATGATCAATAATTTTACTATTGTAGTGATCCCAAATCAGCTGTAAGGTTTTCCATTTAACATGGTTAGATCGTGTTGGTAATTTGTAGTCTATTTTCAACTGTAAAATTAGCCGTGACGCTAAAAAATAAAATTAAGACTGGTCGTTACCATTGGATTCGAGAGTGCGTACTGTAATAGGTTAAGATATCATTAGATATTAATAATAACTCAGAAAATAATCATCAAGGACAAATTTAGCTGTTTTCCCTTATTATAGTAAGTTTAAGTAGTTTTATTTAATGTAAGCTAGCATGCTAAATTAATGGCTACATAACCATTACAACATACAAAACTTGATGAAGACATAAAATGGAAGATCAACAACTATAATACAGGCTGTTATAATATTGGCGCCAATAAAAAAATCATACAAGCTAAATTTCGACCCTAAAAGAAAGCTATTAATAAAAGTAAAAATAATATCAACCAAGCATGTCTAAAAATTAATTACTGCAGAATACGCGTATTTATCACTACTACAATTCTGTATTATTACTGTAAAATAAACATAAATGTAGGACTGTCAGCTAGCCATAAGTTATAGTATTTGTGAGAGAAAATGTTACAGCCATTAAATAATAATCAAAACAAGTCAAGGTGATCTACAATTGCAATCAATCAGAAGATGTCATTTATGAATTCAGATACCGGAACAATGGTGACCACGAAAATTGTACAGGTAGAACTGGGAAATACATATAGTTTACTTAATAATCACAATACCTTAATTCTATTTTTAATTATGCTATCTCCAGTAAAGACCTGTTTCGATGTTGTTGATAGAATAACACTAATAAAATTAAATAAACGTAATATCGACAGAAAGAGTGCAAGAAACAACGATAACATTTTTTAGTAACGGTAATTCTATTATAACCCATTACACAGATTAATTAGTACATGATTAAGGATCGGATTGAATATTCTTATACCAGTCAAGTTAAATGAGCTGTTAGATAGTGATGCTATATTTTTGTTAGCCTTGACTGCCATATTATTGGATGGTTAACTGATGTTACTGTTATCGTCATATGAGCATAGAATATGATTAAGGGCATTCTGGGATTATGATTACTTCTTATTGCAGTGTTATATTTAATAAGTTAGCTATATTTTCCAACCTTGTTTCAGTTTTAAGTTTCCCTTCACTAATTGATATTTTCTATACTAGAGTGCGTTTTTCTTCTCATTGCTTAAGGCAATGGGATATTATGTAATGGTTTAAGGTTGAGTATGGATGCATTTACGAATAGCTTTTAATATCACACTACGGATGTTGCGGATATAGAAATTAAGTATGATATCCTTCCAATCGTTTTAATAAGTATCCGCGATGACTTGAAAGCATTCAAGCCCCAACTAAATGGCCGGAAAATGAAGTTCTTTGTTGAACGGTGATTGAATGACCAGAAATATTTTCAACATAAATGCCAACTGTGTGGCCAGCCTATTAGGAGTAAGAAATATATAACTTAATTTAACAAATCAATTGGAACAGATGTTATACCACTATAAGGGCAAAAGTCATGACGGAAATAAGATAAAGGCAATCAGCCTTTTCTATATTGTGTACTTTTTCTTTTCAGAATCCTAAGAACATAGTATGAGAAGGGTGTAGAAAGGAAGACTAGTCACAAATGCTATAATGTTACAGATCAATACGGATACGTTAAGTGTATAAATGAGTTGTTCTTCGGAGGCAAATCTTATAAATCTGAGATCACGTGTAAATATGATAATATTACCTGATGGTAACAATATTAAGCAAGACTGAACACTTTATCAAGACAATTTGATAAATCTCCATTTATAAATATATAATTAATAGAAGTAAAAGATTTACTCGTTGATAATTTCCATTCAGACAAATATACAGTACTTGAAAACTAAAGAGAAATTGTTATTAGTACAGTTAATATCTTAAGCCTATCGTCTATTAGAAGGTTTTATATGATTAGCTTGGGTAGGCTAGTTCTCTAGGTCAGTCATTAATTTATATTGATATAAAATAGTGAAGTTTGGATAGCAATTAAAGTTGTCGTTTGATATTTGAAAAATGTTAAAATTTAGGAATACTCACAACTCATTGAGATTGGTGAGAATATGTTTAAATATAGTCGTATGATCTTATGATGTAAAATTTTAATTTAGATCTCAGTGACTTGTGACTATTCGGTACGAATGCTTGTAAAACTTAAATTTTTGGTAAATACTAAATGATAATTTTAATTGTGAGTACAATAATAGAATTAATATAGCTACTTCCACTAATGGGATGGTTACCTCAACGTATAAAATTCCGTCGGCATAAAGTGTAAACTGTCGGCTGTTAGGAGATATGCCGGATACGTATTTGATTGACCTATTACGTGTGCAAGAGAAGTCGATGCAGATATAAGCAGTAACATGTTCGTTCCTGGTGAGAATAGTTGATGGTGAAATTGAATGATGTAGATGAACCAATCCAGAGAAACGATAAATAGCTGAGTATGGAGCAATAAATAAGCCTTTTTTCACATCGACTCCATTCCCTCGCATGAAAGCACCACGATGTGATGGCTATTTAGTAAAGGAATAGGCATTAAAAATTAGGATATAATTTAATATTCTGCATAAATTAATTACAATAACGTATAGAATAGACTTACTTGAACATAGTTAGTTAATAGCTTTCGCGTGCCATGGTCAATATTAATGGAAGAATGTAATTCCATATGGAAAGCAGATGGAATAACAGCAATAGGCGCTTTACTGAAACTTAAATGATCTTGTGCTTTCTAAACGCAATTTAAAAAGTACTATTAACATGTATTACAATGTTTCTGTTAATATTTTAGAGTTTGAATCTTACCTTGGTTATATATGTGAAAATATTAACGCTGGATTGATTTCTTTTAACGCACAAGCCACACTGGACAATTTAAAATGTTATAAAAGTTAGAATAAACTTACTATGGCATCGTGATAATATTCCAATCACAATTAAGAATTACCTTTTCAGTTGCTGTAAAATATTCTGTATTGACAGGGTCAATTATTTATAACATTTGAAGAAAAGGTGAATATGAGATTTATAATAAAGGAAATTATATTAATCAACTCTAATAATTTTTTTTGCTACCAAATATTGGAGTATAAATTAGTTTATTCTGCTATGATTAATTAATAATATATTCGTTTGGATCTTACATCAATAATATCAGATTTTGGACTACAGCAGTGTAGAACAATTTGCGAGTAATATCAATTTGATCAAATTTAGATCGGTATAAATAGTGATATAATGCGATAGTAGATATGTAAATGCCTTGACTATACTAATAAATTAGTTTAATTTGTTTTGAGTTGGGTACGAATACGAGCAAAAAAATAAGTAACTGAGATACTAACCTTCGAAGACTTCACGTATGACTGCAATGACATCGGCTTTCGCTATATTTTTTCCAGGTAATCCCGGTGGTCCTGGTGGTCCACCAGCTCCCTTAGGACCAGCCTATTGATCAATTTAGCCAATATATGTACTTGTTAAGAGTGATACCACGAAAAGTATTATCTAATATACCACCATAATATTCTTGGAGTATTACAATAGTTTATTTTTATGTATATACAAGTTTTGAGTTGACTTGAATTTACTTACAGGACATGTAATCGGGCAATCTTGCAATTTTTTGCGTTCTTCTTCTTTTGCTTTTTCCAAAAAGTCTTTCCATGCGCTAAATGGGCTCTTGGTAGGTGCTTTTGAGCTCTAAAAGCCATGAAATAACGATAATTAATATATGATTGGTATTCTATCGTTAGTAGATATACTGATTACGGGTGATAAGATTGAATATCGGTACTATATAGCATGATAGTCTTTTACTCTCTATGCATTCATTTACCACCTGTGCATAGTCTTTACAATTCTATCTATTTAGGTCTATATTGTTACTGTATGTAATGTAGATATCCTCCAAATTTGGAGTTTAATAAGGATTGCATGCATAAATTGATGGTCTTTTGTTATTTCATGGTGTATTACCCAGCTGTAAAGCTTTATTATTGTGTCTATCTTATATTGGATGTTTTATTCTCCTTTCTATATCTGTTTCTCAATACAAGCCGTCGAGTTATTATGAAATCGTTAAAGCTCTCTTTTGAGGGCTAAAAACCTTAAGTATATCGACCGAAGATTAATAATAATGCAGGATTGCCATCATATGGACTACTCAAAATTACTAGCAGTCATTTTTCGTAACCTATGGCTACCACAATGATTATAATTTTGGTACATGTTCCGTCAATATTTTTACAGTGTCTGTTATCCCCTAATGCATCTATGCTTTTTTTAATATCTACTCTAGGTTTATGGAATAAAGGGCAGTAAAAAAAATCTAGAGCTCTCCAATAAAAGCCAGCTGCCATTGGCCTGTTGCCTGGATATGAATCAATATTAGCGTCATATGATAGCTATCATCATCATCAGTAATCTATACACGTCGACAATCTATATGGAGCTTTCTATCGTCTACTTTAGAAATAGTTTATAATGAGCTATTATAATAGGAGAAAAAGCTATTTTTATAGAGCATAAAGATAATTCAAGTTAATGAGGATTTAAAGGCATGAATAGCTACCGCTATTTGTGTTGAAGATATTATTTATAGTAGTTGTTATGATGTAAAAGGAATAAAGTATGGACTTATGTGGAAAAATTTTTTCTCTATTATTCTTAATCATTACAATCATGATGAGGACCTTTTACTTTGCCATTTCATCATTATTATCGTCATGAAGAGTTCACCTATTCTAGTGGGCACAATAGACGACAACTATAGGTTATAAGTTAATAAATTGTCTTGTTGATCTGCCCCATACCGATTATGATTGTTCGTATCTTACCGTAGGCAAAATTTGCTAAAATAAAATTTGGATAACAATCGTCATTGACTCTAACCGCCATGTCTGTAGTGACAATAGATAGCAAAGGAATAATGAATAATCACAGCTTTTGACTTGAGGATAATCAATAGACTCGAAAGCCACAAAGGTGTGATATATTGCCAATGACAGACAACATGAAAAATATTAACATGCAATGGTGTCCTGATAACGAGGCAGATCGTCAAAATCAAATAGGATAAATTCCACTTGATCGTGATATCAGTGAAGAAAAAAATGTGTTCAACTGATTCGACGTTCAGCCTTAGCCTTTTATACTTATTATTTTAAAAATTGAAAATGTATTACAAATAGAATAATTAGAAAAGAAAAAAATTGATTATCGAACGATTGAAATTCGATAATTATTTGAATGCCTATCGGTTTGCTGTAATTAACATGGGTAGATCCATTTTAAATGGAGATAAATTGGATATGAGTCTATGATTGAGGATTAATCCGTGAGAGATTAGCACTTCAATATAGAATATTAGCAATAATGGAATTCAAGCAGTTGGATTAGAAAGAGCGATTCATAACGGTTAGAAAGCTGATTTAAAAATGCTTTCACTGAAATCCTGTTGTTGCAAGTATCGATATCGGTTAATTATTACTTAATGAAAGTGATGATGATGGATTTTAAAGCTAAGATATTGTAATGAAAGATTTTATAATCATAGTTAAAAAGGTATTAAAATTGACTAGATATCATTTGAATGCATTAAAATCAATTAGAAAACAAAGCAGTTACTCGATAGTAAATGATTCCTCAGGTAGTTACTAGGTAGTAAATTCCTACAAAAGTGATTAATGTGATTGATGAAAGGAGAATTAATAATGGTAATAGCTCCAGCGAATCTACTGTTAGAAAACTAAAAAACGAAATTCCAATTTTGCTTGACATATTTATGTATTACTGAACAAGTAAGCGTTAGTTGAATTAAAGATGAAGAGATTTACAGTGTTATACTACTATAAAATGGAATTAAGCTGATGAATGTAGCAAATTTATCAGGATATTATTGGAATGTGATGGAGGAGGAGACTTGGTTGATATCACGTGGGAAAGTCAAGGATTAAACGTGGGTAAATGGCGAAGGATGAACTTGAGCTAGAAATGCGATAGACAAGTAATTGACGAAAAGACTTTGATAGAAGCTAAATCCATTCCTGAACTAGTTATCCTTGGGGAAACTACCGACACACTAGTCAGTTTGGAAACTTTACTTTACGTACAGTAAGGTAATATAGTATTTTAATGTTATACTGAAAGGATGAAAAATTAGTCAAATATCATTTTTTATTCTATAAAGATAGATGATATCTCATAAATGGAGATAGTCGAAAATTGTAATCAGGTAGAAATGATTCAATTTTCAACTGTCAAATAAAAAACTAAAGAGAATGAATTGAAGTGTAAAACTACGAATTTATCTATCGTTTTTCCCTTAAGGGGTTCGATGGTGAAGCCTAGGTGAAAATCACCTCATGGATAATTGTAGCCATTTCTCAATGCATCGATACAATCCAGCTAAGAAAATAAAACTATGAATGCTAACATGGTAATTATGGATAATTTGTAATCAATTAGGCACACATACAAAGAAAATCCTTTTTCAAGGTGATTGAAAATTAAAACAATTATTAGTGAATTATCTTTATTCATTTGTAGTTCTATTGACTATTGCCATTGTCCAATTTTGATCAAATTGACATATTGTGATGACTGTGTTATGTAATGTAGTCATAATTGACGTCTTTTCCCCTTCGCCTCGTTGCCTTGTATCAAAAATTGATTAATTTCTAATTTAAGAGATAGGATGATGAGCATCGATTGGAGAAAAATTGTTTCATCATCTTATTCTGATGGCACACCAACGCATTGAATAGAATGAGATCAATGCATGTCTAGGTTGAACAGTGATAAAATTCATTTTCCATAGCTGAGAGAAAGTGATTACAAAAAATTAAAATAAAAAAAAAGGAAAGAAAGAAAGAATGAAATGTCATTCTTGTCCATATTTGTTCTAGTCATGATGGCACAGTAGAGCATAATGAAAATGATGATCAACATCGGGTAAAAGACATTTCACGCTTTAGTGAATCAATCTCAATTTATTTTAGGTCTAAATTCGACGTTATAAACTAAAAATAAATCTGGAAAAAGTCCTAGGATTGAACTGGTGTAATTATTATCACCGATTGAGATGATAAAATTATTCTATAATGAAACTTTGATATATTTTTACGGACATTAAATACAAGTAGTCTGTTCTATCTTCACTTCCGTTTAACATTCTAAAACCGTGTACCATTGTTGGAGCTTTCTGTAAATTTACTCATCCTTGTCATTATCAATGGTAATAATTTATTGACCACGTTGTAAAGTTGAATGAGAGTAGGCAACATACAAATAAGAGGAATTTCTACGCAATATAAATTTAATCAAACCCCGTCATTCTGGGAAATTGTTGTTGTTGTTTTTGTTGCTTTTATTATTATATTATTATATTTTTTTTCGTCGACGGAGAAAATGTAGAGTATTACAAATAGTGAACATAATAGCAGAAATAGTTGATCTTGATATCATCTATTGCTTACATGAGTGGTACAATGATCTCAATGTAATTTTAGACTTGTTCATGAAGTTGATTCAACAAACATTCTTCCGGGGGATACAGCATGTACAGTATTATTGTAAGACTGAAAATAAATTTATTTCAAAAATTGGCTATTTACCTCAGTCGTTGCTTTCTTGCCTTGATTTAAAAATCGCTGAAACGGGTCTTGATCTGCCATGACGCAGTTTGATACCAACATTGCAATAACCATGATATAAATCTTTTGCACTAATGCCATCTTTTAATCTTTTACTTGTTAACGATTGATAATGTCGAAAGAAAGACAATAATTTTTCAAAGTCCCAATGATGACTATAGATATACTTTTGCAGTCCAGTAGTTTAGTTGTGAATTCAACCTTGTAGACAACAGATAAAATAATAAAATATCGGATCATTATATTGCAAATATAAGGGTAAATACAAATATATATATATATTTATATTTATATATTGGTGTAGTAAATTAGATTCGATCTGAATATGTAGATTAGTAAGTGGATAAATTGTTTCAATTTTATCATTTTATTTGAGATATAGCAATTAGCTATAATGTAGATAAATTGGTTAAGAACATGAAAATTGTATTAGAAATGGCTGTCCTGCCTACTTGTTAAACTGCAAATACTTTATTATGTATTCACGATAATTTAATACAGGCGGTTAATTGCGAAGATGGCAATCATTTAAGAAAACTAAATCAGACGGCAAAAATATTCATTTCAATTTTTCGATTGTATGCAATACTAAAATTTTAGGACGGTAAATAGGATATAATTCTAGCAACAATATGTTAACAACTTATTAAATTGAGGGAATACCGAGCAAATTACCATGGTAATTAATGGAGCGTGAAAGTATAACAAAGTTTGGATGATAAGATAATTAGCTAATAAGAAGAAAAAAGAGGGATTTCAGCCCCGAAAAGAAGATTTGAATAATAATTTGGTTGTTAGGACCATGAATTACATTAATTTACGTAGTACAGGAAGATACTCTATGAGCATTACCGATATTCAATTTAAGAAGGAAGAAGTAATGTAATAGTTAGCAAACGACTGGAAGAAGGATAGTCTAATTCTCAATATTAAACTACAGATTATTCATCCTCGGCCTTTGAATAAAAAGTAGAAAGTACGGTAGAGATTGCAATTTAGTAAAGCCAATTAAAGCCATAATAACATTGAATAAAGTGAAATTATGCCATGTTGGTAATCATAACAAGTGTGATAATTATCTTTATTGACTTCTAATTTCAATGTGGAGACTTTACTGTTTGTTCATGAGTCGTTAGAGGCCAATGGAAGTGAAATTTTACCGATATTACTGGACTACTAAGCTAGTAACAGTACTCTAACGCTGAGTAAATAGTATTAGGCCAGATACTAAGATCTCTTCCTATCTACTCACTTATATAGCTATTTAAAATACTTTCAATTCTACCATTAAATTCGATCTGCGTTTTGAATTAAGAAATACATTTAAGATCGTTATTGGCCTATAGACGATAGACTAAATACGATGGGTAAAATTATCTTGAAAAGACTCCTAATAGCGATTAATCTCAAGGATAGAATTGACGGATAAAATTCATCATTGATATTTGAATCATTGGCCGGTAGATTGCTAAAAAAGAAAACGTTGTAGTAGTGTAGGGAATAATTTCATTGAAGCGATTTTCAATCGTTATGCTGATATTAAATATCGAGTTTGAGGATGTGGCTAAATTGGGACTTTGGAAGTAGGGCATTTAGTCATTGTTCATCAATATTCATGGAAAAAAAATAGATAATGTTTGATGGATTATGTTAAAAAGATAAATACTAATAGTCTTTCATGTCTGTCGAGAAATGTTTTTACCTATTGATTAGCTATCGTTCAAACCTTTAGGTTCAATTTCTTTCAACTCGATCGGTTGTATTTCAATTTTTCTTCTGTGATCCAAGATAAGAATAAAAAGGAAAACCAGTAGGAAAAAACAATTTTTTATTTTTGAATTGAATTGTTTTCTTCTTGATAGGACTAATTTTAGTTGTAATTGATCAAGTTGTCGATGGATTGGATGCAATTTCCACGTTAATACTATGTTGGTGAGATATAACTGTTTCCTTTTGGAGATGGAAGGGTAGGCGATCAATGTGTAATTTGTTCTTTTTAATAATTTGAGTTGAAATAGACGTCAAAGGATCGCTGAGTCGTCGAAATCTTTATTCAAGACAAATGATGCAAATAGCAATAGTGACGAAAAAGTATTGACCGATTGATACTATGACTGTCTTTGTATATGCTTTCCTTTCTCCTTTCTTATATCATGATTGTAGGCAAATTGAACTGGCGCTATACGGGGCGCAGTCAATAAGAAGAAAGCTTTGACAAGCCCTACCATTATTAATGACTGTAAT